ATTGACAGAATTGAATAATTGAATAACATCATCTTTAAAAATGCAGCCACACAGTAGGATAGTCTGGGAAGTCACTGAGATTTCTTCTAATGATCTATGACATCCCTTACCTGTTCCTTCCTTTGGACTCCTAAAATAACTATTCATATTTGAGCCACTCCCATTTGCCCTTCCACGTCCTACCGTGAATACTTAAACTTGAAATCTTGAAGACTAGTACCTCTGGTAATTTTTGAGAGTTTTCTGTGATCCCAATCATTTGAGACGTAATTAACTATAAGTACTTGCCTCTATAGGGAACTTGAAACCCAGGTAATATAAACCCTATTTAATCTTTGTATTAGATAGAGGAACTTGTCGGTCACATATAAAATGTTCGCAGACCAAACATATGTCATGAATCTCTTAGTTTGCATGATTGGGTCTATCGCCGAGGTTTATACTTATCCTTCGGGAATGTGTAGTATTCGCGGTATCGGACACGATTATGCAAACTATTGGAGGAATGAGATCCGTTTGGTCTCATTTTTCGAAAATTAAAACATACTACTTTCAAAATTCAAACTATATATCTATTATATTAAATTAAATTTCAAAAAATTATTTTCATATTCATATTTTCAAATCTATCAAAAAGTTGACCGACACACACCTTACTTAAAATCAGCTTTGGTGCTTTGGTTGCGTCACTTGTTTTGGTTGTATGTTGATTTCTTCTTCATCTTTTGCTTGCTTGTATCTTCACTTGTATATGGAGTCTTCTTGGAAAGTATTGGGATATGGACCATATCAACATCGTCCTTTGCATGTAAAGGATTTTATCACAAACAATTATTTTATTATAAATCTTCATCCATATGTAGATGATCGTGCTGAGAATAGTCATTGGCTATGAGCCTCGTCTTTCCACCTTATGTATAAAATCAAGCCTTTGACATAATTCTTAGAATGTAAGAGCCTCAAAACATGACTCCACAAATTATTCTTGATTTTTATGATGCTTCGCAATCTTTTAATACATTCTTTTTTATTTTTTTTTGGCCCCATATAAAATTTTTTATGGGATTTTTTTGTCAATTTTTCCAGGAATTTTTTTTTTTAATTTTTTTCAGTTTTTTCATGTTTTTGGTTCAAAATTTTGATTCATAAAATATCTTGTGCCATATTCTCGACTTCTCAATCGGATCAATGTTTGATTGTATTTTTCCGAAGAGATATTGACATTAAGTATTATGCCTTGTCATCTTTTTTCATGCATCCATTCTTTTATATATAAATAATTAATTTTTAGATAAATTTTGAAAATGCTTCGACATCTTCCTCCAAAAAGGATATAACAAAAATCTATTCTGCAACTTCAATGTTGACGTTTTTTGTGTGATGCATGGCATGCACAATGAATTTCATCCACCACACCTTAAAGTTTCTTTGGGGCATTTATTACCAATATGGCCTAAAATTTACCCAAAGAAAAAAAAAGCTCTCCGTTTCATAAATATGCTAATCGGTTGCATGTGAGCTGGATCATGCAAGCAAAGGAGAGACAATCAAACAGCAAAAAGAAGGAAAAATGAAGGCTATATGAAGTAGTCATTGCTCACTTAATTACTTGGTATTTCAACCACATGGAGGCTAATGCAGCGATAGCCTTAGGCGGTGTTTGGTGGACTATTTTAGTGGATGTACATGTGGATTTAATGTAAGTTCACCAAACACATTTTCAGCTCTGCTAAATCCTTCGGTCGACGTAAATCCAAAAATCCCTTCAGCGCAACATAAATCCGGGAGTTACTAAATTCGTTCGAGAGGTGGATATAAGTGGATCATATTATAAAGTGTTAAATCCTGAAATAAAATGCCAAACATTCCATACGTTATGTGGATTTAAATGAAATCATACCAAACATAATTTCAGATTTAACATCACTAGATTTAATAAATCGGATTTAGTAATTTCCACTTAACTTAAATCCTAAGTGCAGCCAAACACCCTTGTAAATTCTTGATGCTTTAATCGTGGTACAAAATGACTTGAACATCCATTGACTGAAATAACTGAGGTATTATTAATAATAATAAAATTCCATAATTTTCTTATTAATTAAAATGATACATGTGTAAACCATATTCTATCAAACAATCTTTTCCGCCTATAGTTTCTGTAACCATGTCAGCTTGGGGTCTCAAATGTTCTCTGGTGTGCATTACAAGTTATTCTTCCTTGGATTGAAATTGTTGCTTAAAAGCTACAACAACAACAACCACAAAACCTTTATCCCACTAAGTGGGGTCGGCTTCATGAACCCTTTTTCTCTATGCTTCATGAACCCTTTTTCTCTGTTGCGTCCTATTTAGTGTCATATTTTCATTTAATTATGATAATTTAAGATCATTTTTTATACAATATGCCTAAGTCTTCCTAGGTTTTCTTCCTAGGTTTACCTCGCCTTTCTTAACATAAATAAAATCTAAAACATCTACTCTCCTAATCAGATCATCAGATGATCGACGTTTAATGTGACCAATCCATTAAATATGACTTTTTTTAATTTTGTCCGTCATTGGAGCTACACCAACCCTATCACAGATATATTCATTTCACATTTTGTCTCTAAGTGTCAAGTCACTCATACACCTAATCTTTCTTATCTCGGCAATGCTTAACTTAGTTTTATGCTTCTCTTTTAAAGACCAATATTCAACGCCATAGAGCATTACAGGTCTCACCACCTTCTTATAAAGTTTTCCTTTCAGTCTAAGTAGTACTATTCTGTCACACAATATACCTGAAACATTCCTCCTCTTCAACCAACCAACTTGAATTCTACTAATAACATCCCCATCTATATCACCATCAATCTATATCATATATCACCATCACTTGGAACAATAGACCCGAGATATCTAAAGCGTTCACACCTTTTAACAATTTGATCACTCATAGTTACAAATTTGTCACTGCAGCTACTACTATAAAATTTACATTCCATGTATTCAGTTTCCATGTATTCAGTTTTAGTCCATGTATTCAGTTTTAGTTCTACTCAAACAAATGCCTTTAGACTCCAATATAGACCTCCATAATTCAGGTTTTTTCTGAGCTGTCTCTCTCGTCTTATTCACGAGAAGGATATCATCAGCAAAAAGCATACACCTAGGTACATCCTCCTGTAAATGTCCAGTAAGACCATCCATAACTAAAGCAAAAAGATATGGGCTTAAGGCGATCCCTGATGTAATCCAACAGAAGTAGGAAAATAATTGGTTAATCCTCCTTCAGTTCGAATACAAGTAACAGCTCTAGTATACATATCTTTAATGACTTGAATATAAATCATATTAACGTTTCTTCTCAAGAACTCTCCGAAGGATATCTCTTGGAACCTTAACGTAGGTTTTTTCTAAATGAATAAAAATCATATGTAGATCCTTCTTATTATCTATGAACTTCTCCATCAAACCTCTCAATAAATGTATAGCTTCCATAGTAGACCTGTCCGACATAAATCTAAATTTATTATGAGAAATCTTTGTATATGTCTTAATGTTCAATTACCCTCACCCATAATTTTAAAGTACGACACATCAACTTAATTCCTCTATAATTTGCACACTCTTGTGCATATGCTTTTCTTAAAAATGGGGACCAAAATACTCTTCTTCCATTCCTCAGACATCTTTTTAGTTTTTAAAATAGTATTAAGAGTTTAGCGAGCTAAGAAATTCCCAAATCTTTTATATATTTCCACACTTCAATTGGGATATCATCAGGTCTTACAAACTTTCCACCCTTGGTTTTCATTAAATGCTCCTCAACTCATTTTTTACTAATGCAACGGTAAAAATGAAACATTTTATTATTGTTAACAATATTATGATCACTAAGGTCGATCGTATTTTCAGAAATTTTATTAAAAAGTTTATCAAAATAACTCAACCACTTATGTTCAATATCTTTTTCTAAGAAAGATAAATTATTAAACTTTTTTTCATTTTGTTACAGTTTCGTCAGCTGCATGTTGCTACTTATTGCTTCTGGTATGGTCTGCCTACTATTAATGCTAGAGATAAAATTATGGTTTAAGTGCATTGGTTGAAAGCATTTAAAAATTTGATTGGTTAGATCCGGTGTAATCACTTAGCAGGCAATGTCCATCAGTATTTACTTGAATTTTGCTTCCATTTTTGTTTTCTTACTTTATAGAAATCTTTCTTTTTATACATGGCATTACTGATGCTTTCTGGATAGTGTTTCATGTAATTTATTGTTATGCTAGTGCTTGCTGCATATATTCTTGGTAAGTTTGGCTTTCAAAATTATGGAGGGAATAGGTGCTGTGCCTGTAAGGAAAGTTGGGAACATTGTTGATGTTTGTTGTTCCCCCTCCTCAAATATATGTGATGTAATTGAGAGTAAGTAGTTCACTTGTATTGTAGTCTAAGAGGTCTCTATTATCAACTACACGTTAACATCATTAGTTTTTTCTTTTGTTTATCATCTATAGATTTTGTTGATGTGCTTCGATGATATATAGTTTTGTGTTTTTTATTTATTGTTTGAATTAGATTACTAAGAGACATAAGATCTGAAAAATCAAGTGCATCCATTGTCTACAGATGTTCATTTACTTTTATGGAGTTTTTATGCTCAGTGTTTTCTTTGGAAATTCATCTAATTACAATATTGTATTGATTGTTGATACAAGTTCGTGCACCTGAGTTTTGGGTCTTCAGTTGGATGTGATTCTATTAGACTTGATGTAATTTTTAGTGTGAAGGACTATTATGGGCACTTTTTTTGTTCCACATGGCTTTTTTGTGCTTTTAGATTTTTGGCTTTAGATGTTTAAATCATGTGGTCCGAATATTATGTTTTGAGCAGACTAAGTTCATATACATGGTCTCTTTTTTTTCGGATTCAACTTCTTGCCACCTATCTAGGCTATTATTTGCCTCGTGGCTGAAATGCCATCTACTAAATTCATTCGTCATTTTTGCAGATAAAGAAGATACAAAAGTACTTATTATAGCTACGTTAGCATGGGGCCTGCGCAAATGCTCTCGTGCAATTACATTGATACTTATATTTCTTCGAGCTACGAAGCCTGGTTATATTCATGCTGTTTACAGTATGGTGAAACATCCTTCTATCATCTTCGTGTTTTTTTTTTAAATTTATAGTCTTTTTTATAATCTAACTAAGTTAATATTCTGACTTCCATTTAATAATCTTATGCATAGACCATTTATTTATTTTTTTGGATTGCTCAAAAATGAATTTCCTCTTCTCCGTATAATGTGTTCTTCTCTTTTATATGTTATTTAATTCTCTTATTTCCACCTTGCCCTTTGCGTTAATAGTTAGTAAAATAATCACACCCTAGATACTGTAATACTTAAAGAAAAGAGACATCATGCACTCTTGCCAATCCGGACTATAGGAATGAATGCTGTATGGAAAGATATTCAACATGTAATCCTTTTAAGATTGCTTAGGTTTTGTCCTTGTACTCCAACCATTGTTTGAAATTTAAAACTTATTTTATGGACCAAAATATGGCCCTTTAAAAATAGAGTACGATAAGAACAAATTGCTCTTATTTTGGAAGAACAAATATATATTCAAGTTGGCTAATTTCTTTCTTGATTTCAGAACTAACCTTGTCATGGATGAGATTCTTCTTGTTTTTAATGTTTTCTTTTTGTCTTCAGTTATATTTAATTCATGTCATCTTTTATTGCTTTTTTATAATTTCTAATGAAAATGAATTATTTCATATACTTTTTCCAGTGTGCTTCTTTTTGTTGTACTTGCTGAGCCATTCAATCACCGGAAAGATTCACCAGGTTTTAATTCTCTTTTGTGGGGCACACTTTTCTCTATTGTATCTCTTGCGACTGGAACTAATCTCAAAGACTTTGGAGAAACCGGGTTCTGTTACCATTTCAATTCTGTCGCAGTTAGGTGAGGTGCTGTTTTCTTTGTCACGATATTAATCATATTTTATTATTGTAAATTTGCTTGTACTTGATGGTGAAATAAAACACAAGTTTTGCTTAAATTTGTTTTCTCAACAGACAATACAACTAAAAATGGCCAAATAAATTTTTTAATATAATTTAAATTATATTGAATTTGAAATTACTTATCATTGATGAGAATCTTTTATTTATTCTGTTTATGAAATTTTTAAAACACCATGCTGGATTTTTTTCAATGCATCTTTTGACAAGTTTTATTGTTTCACGCCTTGATTAGTTTTCCTCTAATCTTGTAGAATTAATTTTTTTATTTACACTTATTTTAGTTGTGCAATTTATGGGGCATTTATTTTTTTTATTTTTTTCACCAACTTGTGTGCTTATGTTCATTTTTATATTTGTTTTGTCTTGGAATTTTATTTTTTCATTATTTTTTGTCCAATTTGTTTCATGTAAATTTTAACAGCATTCATGTTTGTTTTTCATCATTGTTGCTCGCTTATGCATCTTGCTGGATGCTTTTCAATGATTTTGACACAGAATTTGTTCCACCTTCGCTGTATAGTAGAGATAATTATGTATTTTTCCAGTTTCCTTGTACCGGTCAAATCTGTCAGATCAACATGAAACCTGCTATGTATTTGTTTTTGATAACTAATTATGTATAATGGCAACTAGTTTAATTACTATTTAGATAGATAGACCGTCAAAATTTGATATCTTGAACTTATTAGCAATGAATGGGAAACTGCATTTCATGCATAGATGGCTTTGAGTTGTTATTTAATCGTCTCTACATGATTTCTCAATGATAATTTAAATAAAAAAAAAATCTTGTGGTAATTTATATACATAGAATAGAGCAAAATTGATTTTTTTTTTTTTTTATCTATTTTATTTTGCCCACATATAATGTTATCATTGTGTTGGTGGATCCAGTGTAACCTTATTCATTAAATTTTTGCCAGAGTGATAGTTCTTCCTCTTATTTTGTCTTAAATTTAGAATTTGTTTTCTACATTAGTACTTTTTTGTCTTTGTGTATTGAGAGCTGACGAATTCTTCTCTCCTGGTCATTGTTTTTTCAGCAATCTGACACTTGTATTCTGAAGCAATTACCAACGAAACTAATGTCTTCAGGATTATTGCTTACAGGAATCACAACCCATACTTCTTCCGGGGATTTTACAGAGATCAGCATACTGCTATGCTTTTGTGCTATCCAACACCATGGACTGAAGATGCTTGTGTCTTTATCTTCAATTGTGCAACATACTCCTCATCCCCCTTTTGGTTTTAGCATCTTGAAGGCTGGTTTAAATAAATCTATTTTATTATCAGTTTATGCATCACGAACCTCCTGGGATAGTTCATCTGTTGGTAACACACGTGGTAAATTCAGAGTCCAAAATCTTTAGTAAATTTTGTTCATCTATGTTGTTTATTTTATTGAGATTTATAATAGAGCAACATAATTTTATTGATAGAAGAAGGGTATTTAAACACAATTACAATAGATACAACAAATGAAAGAAATAAAACATATAAAATAAATAGGAAATATATAATGAGGGAATAAAAGCTTGTAATAGGTAATACTACGTTACCGTTATAAATCTAATACTCACCTTGAAGTTGAAGCATAGATGTCAATCATGTTCAACTTGGATTTGAAGTCATCGAACATAGGGTGAGGAAAATTCTTGATGATGATATCTGTTAGTTGACTATTGGAAGACACAAACGGAACACAAATTTTCTTGGACTCAATCTTTTCCTTAATGCAATGTTTGTCAATCTCCGCATGTTTGGTACGATCATGTTGGACTGGATTGTGAGCAATGCTGATGGCGACCTTATTATCATAGAATAACTACAACGGGATGAGGGTTTGCATACGAAGTTCATGGAGCCTGATGTGTAACCAGAGGGCTTCACAGATTCTCAGGGACAAATCAGAATTCAGCTTCAGCACTGTACCGGACAACGACAAACCTTTTTTTTTGTTTTTCCACGTGAGAAGATTTTCCCATACAAATGAACAACACACTGATGCAGAACTTCGATCATAAACTGACCCGATCAGTAGGGGTGTTAAAAATTGACCTAACACGCCAAAACGACTTGAACTTGACTAAAAAATTTCGGGTTAGGGTTGAACCAAATATTTTTCGAGTCGGGTTCGGGTCAGAGAATTCAACCCACTTATTATTTGGGTCGAGTTTGGGTTGAGCCCAAAAATCTAAAATGACTCATATAAGCACGAAATTTTTAGTCGGGTTTGGGTTAGCAAATTCGGATCGGGTTCGGGTCTTAATTTTTGACTCTTTTATTATTCGGGTCAAATTTGCCGGTCGTCAGCCTGGATTTTTGAAAAAAATAGATTTAAATTTGAATTTAAGTATATATAGATATCAATATAATTTTGATTTTGAAAAAAATAGTATTTTGATTTAAAAATAAATGAGAGCAAATAGATCTCACATATTTGATAGGTTGGACGACTGAGTGCGATACAATATGTAATGCACTATCCCGAAGGATAAACATATCACTTGTAGTAGGCTCAACCACCCAAACCAAAGAATTTTGTAACATCTGTTTGGCCTGCAAAATCATCTATATGTGGCCGACAAGTTCCCTTACATAATATAAGGATTAAATGAGGTTTATTTTATCTGGGTTTTTAGTTTGCTATAGAAGCAAACCTCTATAGTTAATTACATCTTAAAAGATCGGGGTCACTTAAGAAGACTCTCGATTAAGATCGGTAGTTTTGCCTTCAAGATTTCAAAATTTAGGTTTCTAAGATTGGACACAGAAAAGTCAAATGAGAATGACTCAAATAGAAACAATTATTTTAAAGAATCCAAAGGAATGAAGAGTATGAGATGTCACAGATACGAGGAGAACATCGACGACTTTTAATTTATCATATTGGTTGGTTTTATGTCTTTAAAATAATGTTATTCGTTGTTTAATCTTGCAATTTATTTTTAAAATTTAGGACTCACATTTACATTATATCTAATCATGCAAATGACCTAGAAAGATAAGAAGATTTACATCGTACTGTACGGTAACCTTAGAATCCTAAAAGTGTTAGAACTTATATTGCACAACAGGGTTGTGCAAAAGCCTAAAAGATAAAGTGAAGATTTAAGTTGTGCTAAGCAAACTACCACGAAGTCTTATGGTTTATGTTATTTATTTTACAGAAAAGTTTTAGCTGATGTGGACTTGTTTTGCTATTGCAGGTCGTCATCCTTCATCTGCTACGTCACAGTCATGCTGTCCACAAAGACTTGCTTCATATAGTAATAGTTTCAGGTTCAGTGTTTTATAGTGATCCACCCTGGGTAAACTGACTAACGTTTTCTCTCATGAATGTCCTCTAGTTAATTTAAAACATACATAAACTAACTATGTTATAAGGAAATATAGTAAATGAAAACAGTATAAGATGCTGTAATTAAAAACAGTATAAAGGAAAAACATCGTAAAGAACCTTAAAAGAAATGCAGTAAAGTGCTATAAATGTACTGTAAACTTTGGGTACCTAAGTTTGTTGTTATTGCTGTACCTGTAAATGGGACTATCGTCGCAGGTAAAATTATAGTAGAGAAATTTAGCTAGCAGGACAAACATGTGTTTATGTATAACATAATAAATGATGAAGTAGCATATGGAAAGTCCTGAGGAAACTAAAACTGATCTGCAGAGACTCGAAATAAATCGTAGGAAAAAAACAAATAAATAAAACAAAACACAACGTCACATGTAAATGATTAAGGGAGAGTGATTTATATGTGATATTGAGAATATCCCGGAGCATTCAAGCTCAAATCTCGGAGTATTGAGTTTCACTCTTTGATTTAATTAAATCAGTCATGAACCACAGCTGGTCCATACCCTGTCTATTGCTTTAACTAACTTATGAGATAGGGTCAAGTGCCTAACTTCAGTATCTATTTGAAAATTAAGTAGATGAACTCTCACTTAGGGTGTGCTATTAAAATCTAGGAAGCCTACACTTTAACTTGAGCTTGAAGTGTTAAAGTGTTATGTCTTCAATTAAGTGTTTTTCAACTAATCCTCGAACATCTTTACATTAAACTTAGCTCACTATCATGCTCTTATGACCTACGAGGTAAACCTATAATTTTGTCAAAAAGGTTCATGAAATGTGCTTCAATCCTAATTAAAATAATTGGGCTTATATCTCACTAATGCTTATGGGTTCTAATTGATACCCTATTGATCTTTCAATTTATGTCTCTTACTCTTGAATCATTTAAGCTCTTACTTTCTTTCAATTCTCAACAATTATCATAATTACAATTTTATCCTTCTTATGTAAAAAAACTGGTGAATGATTTGCTACGCTATTTCCCTTTGGGTTTCAATCATCTCAACAGACTAATTATCTTTGTTTCTCTCTTAGTTCTCTCTCATCTGATTACCCCCTCTTTTTTTTAAGGTGTGAATGAATCATGAAAATAATTAAATCAGAAATTCTCATTTTTAACTTAACCATTGGCACGAAAAAGAAAAATAAAGCCACATGAGTGGATGAGGCCGACCCATTTAAACAAAATCAGCAAAGTCAAGAGCGAAATCACAAGTGAATCGATTTAAAAATGTTTAAATTCTTTCAAAAACAAATAATCAAATCAACTCCCAAAATATCAAACAATTCAAACTCGAAAAGAGCATTTGAAGTTTCTAAGACAACAAGAATAGAACCTTTAAAATGACGTAAAAGTAACATTTTGGGACTTCCAATTTAACATTTAAAAGAAAACCCCAATGACACAATTCAAATTTTCAAAAAGAAAGAATCTCCAAAAACTTTCAAATTTTCAAAAATAAAAACCCTTATAATTTCAAATTTTCCCAAAAATATGTGGTATTTTAACATTTTCAAAAATGGTGGACGAATTAACCCGAAAGTAGTGCAAGTCCCTTCCATAACTTGAGAAAGGAAATGCAAACAAGCGAAAAAAATGGCCACCACTATGCTACACATGCTCAACATTTCATGCTTATGAGAACAAACTTTCCAAATAGAACTTTGCAAATGTAAAGCATTAATACATTCCAAAATTTTCAAATAAAACACTTAAACTTTCTAGGTTTTGCAAAAGTAAAGCATTATCACTCTCCCAATTTTTTAAATAGAGTTTGAAAAGTTTCAGATTTTTCAAATGTAAAGCATCAAAATATTTGTAAACTTTCCAAATTAAATATTGAAAGCTTCCAAGTTTTGCAAAAGTAAAACATTGCCACTCTCCCAAACTTTCTATATAGAGTTTAAAAAGTTTCAGATTTTTCAAACGTAAAGCACCCAAACATTTGTAAAATTTCTAAATTTTCCATATAAAACACTTAAAGCTTTCAGGTTTTGCAAAAGTAAAACATTACCACTCTCCCAAACTTTTCAAACTAAACTTTCCAAATAGAGTTTGAAAAGTTTCAAATTTTTCAAACGTAAAACACCCAAGCATTTGTAAACTTTTTAAATTTTTCAAATAAAACATTTAAAGCTTCTAGGTTTTGCAAAAGCAAAGCATTGAGGCATCGCCACTTTCCAAGCTTTGTAAACAAACATAAAAGAAAAGTTTCAGATTTTTCAAATGTAAAACACCAAAACATTTGTAAACTTTTCAAAATTTTCAAATAAAAGCTTCCAGATTTTGCAAAGGTAAAACATTGTCACTCTCCCAAACTTTCCAAATAGAGTTTCAAAAGTTTCAGATTTTTCAAATGTAAAACACCAAAAGATTTGGGCTAGAATAAATCCATCCAACAAACAATAGTAACAAGTAGCTAAAAGAAAAGAAAAAAATGCAGCTACAAGAAGAGAGAAATCATTAACTTAAAGAGAAAGGTAAGTCCCATACACCTTGCCTACCTTAAAGAAAAGACAAGAAGAGTGACAGAAATCCAAGAGCAGCAATCACACTTAATCCATAAATGATTTCAATAGCACCTCCCCCCTTTTCAAGCTTCAACCATGAAAGAACTAACCCTAGGTATGCTTTTATAAGCAAAGGAGAGAAATAATTTCTACCTAACAGCCCTAATGTTGGTCGAACCAGGTGACGAGAGAAGAAGAGGGGCATTTAAGGAGGAGGAAATGCTGCCTCGAGAAGAAGGGTCGGATAGGTAAAGCCTCGCGATTGGGAGGCTGTTCGGTCGGGCGGCTCACATAGTTGAAGAGGAGTCGCTCAGCTAAGGGTTCGTGCTTGGGCAAAATGTCGAGCGAGAGGGAGAATGGCTCGTGCGGCCATTTGCGGGAGCTAAGGGATTGGGTTCGATCGCGAAGGATCGCTAGCGAGAGAGGGGCGTAGAAGCTAGGGCATGTCTGAGTCGCGAGTCTGCGTGCGTGAGTAGGGATTAAGTAGGATCTTTCTTTTATTATTATTATTATTGTTATTTTTTATAATGTTTAATATTTAAAATTTTTGATTCGTGCATTTTTTAGTTGTGCATGAAGTCATGACAAACTATGCCTTTTTTAGATAATTTTGATGCTCCAGACACGCCAGCGCAGTCCGTTTCGTCATTCCGGGTCGTTCAGACGAATTCATCGATTTGCATGTGATTTGTTCGCGCACATAATTATAGCAATATGGATGTCCTTTCTAACTAAAATCGACATTCCGGACGCACTGACGCAATCCGTTTCGTCCCATCCAAGGTCGTCTGTGCAAGTTCATATACTATTATTATTTTTTTAATTTCAATTTTAGTCTGACTTTGCGCAACCTAATGAATTTTGTGTACCTTGTGTTTGAATTGTTGATAAAGTCATAAAGGGATTTCCTTAGGACTAGAGTTCGTATTGGGAACTCTCTCTCTGAGTCTCTGCATGGTGGTCAACCACTCGACCAAATGATGATGAATTGAGATCACCAATGCTAGACACCACAAGAGAACCAGAAAGTTGCTTGAATTTTTAAAAGGGGTGGGTCCCAACACGAGCATTCTAGAAGAGTCAATACGAGAAATCTTAAGGCTAGATCCTAGGCTTTATGAAGAGGAAGGAAAGTCCTCATAAAAATGAGGTCAACACGGGTCGGACTCGAACACGACCTGCTCCACTGAATTAACCAAATTGACTTCCCTACCTACCAACTAGCATCCGTATAACCAACAATATACTGAAAGCTGTGACGAGAGAAAAGCAAAACTGAGCCCGGTGTATCTTTTAAATAGTAGAGAATCTGGTGGATAGCCTGGAGATGCCGCTCATAGGGGTCATGCATGAATAGCCTCACTATACCAACTGCGTGGCATATGTCGGGCGAGTATAATCGATGTAGACGAGTTTTACCGCAAGACGCTGATAGTGAGTCTTATTGACAGATACAACATTGAGAATATAAGATAATTTTTCATTGGGATCCGTAGGGACAACCACGAGTTTGCACAGAAGAAGATTATTCTCTTTCAAGAGATCAACAACATATTGGCGCTGAGATAGGCAAATTCTCCGAGATGACATAGCTATTTCCGTGCCTCTGAAGTACTAGAAAGATCCCAAGTCCTTCATTTCAAATGACTTAACAAGAATATTTTTCAAGGACTCCAATGCTTGAAGATCGTTACCTGTAAGAATAAAATCATTAACATAGACAATAAGGATAGCTACTTGAGCATTGGAGGATTGCCGAAAAGGAAAATGTGATCTGATTGAGTCTGAGTAAAATCATGACCCATAACCACCTTTGTGAACTTGCCAGATTAGGCCCTTGGGGACTGCTTTAGCCCATAGATGAACTTTTGCAACGTGCACACTTGCTCGATGGAGGCAGTGGAGTAAAAGCTAGGAGGGAGAGACATGTATATCTCTTCCGTAAGTTCTCCATTCAAGAACACATTCTTGACATTTATCTGAAATAAAGGCCAATCCAGGTTCATCAGAAGAGATAACAAGATTTGACTAGTGTTTAACTTTGCCACTAGAGCGAATGTCTCCTCATAATCAACTCCATGGTTCTGTGAGTGCATTTTGGCGACCGATAGTGACTTGTTACGTTCAAAGGACCCATCAGAGCTGAACTTGGTGCTGAAAATCTATGGACACCCCACAACTTTCTTACACTGAGGAAGATCAACGACTCCATTATTGCCGTTTTCCAGACTGGAACAACTTCAATAGTAACTAGTATTTGATGGGTCATCAAGGCAGTAATATATGCTCTATAGGTCGAAGATAAAATGCGGGAAGAGACATTTTACTATAGAATAGAGGGAGCATGTCTAATTGCATGCCTTACTCGGAGAACTCACCTTTTATTTCAGAGGAGGGGTCGTGCCGAGGATGTTGCTTGGAGTGGAATCAGGGTCCTACAAGGAGGTAGCGGCTTCCAGAGTAGGAGCATTGGAATGGGTGCGCCGAGTGTGGACACAGATAGTGGCAGGAGCAAGTGGTGCACTCACCGAATCAGGGGACTCATCGGATGGTGTACTCACCAGAACAGGGGAATCCTCAATGATAGGAACAAGGAGGGAACTTCCATAAGAGTAGGATAAAGGATGGTGTCTAAGAACCTAAGCTCCCCCTCTCTTGGGGCCGAGCTAGTAAAATAGGGAACACTTTCAAAGGAGACATCAACACTCACATAGATTTTGTTAGTGGTAATATCATGACACCGATACTTCTTTTGAGTGGTGTAATGCTTAAGATATATTTTATGAATATGGGATTATGTTTACTATATGATTGAGGGCTGTGTTTGGAATAAAAGTCATGCATCCAAAAATCTTGGCGTCTAAAGTAGAGAGTACTCGATTGGTAGGGAAACATGACATCAGGACAACAAGGATGGTTCGAAACTCATGAAATTTAGAAGGGACTCTATTTATGAGATATGTGACAGTGAGAATGACATCGTTGCAAAATCGTTTCGGGACATTTGATTGAAACATAATGGAGCGAGTAACATCGAGGAGGTGACGATTTTTTGTCCCTGCTAGCTCATTTTGTTGAGGAGTGTCCGTACACAAGCTATGAAGGAGGATATATTTACTCCCAAGAATTCACCTAAAATAAAGTTGAAAAATTCACGGCCATTGTCGGTCCAAAGGACCTCAAACCTGAATAGGAGTTTTGAATTGAGTTGAAATGAAGGTGTGAAAGTTTTGGAAGGTGATAAAAACTTCAGATTTGTTTTTTAAAATATAAACCCACATCATTCGAGTGCGGTCATCAATCAAAGTTAAGAACCACCATTTATTGGTGTAACTGAGAGTGCGGTCGGGTCTTCATAGGTCATTATTAATGAGAGAGAAAGAAGCGGAAAATATGTAAATGTGGGGTGAGTAATGAACTGGATGTTGTCTCACAATTGAAATTAGAATAATTTTTATTAGAAAACATCATAGAATATACTTTTTTTAAAAACTGAAAACTAGGATGACATAAACGACAATGCAACAACATAGTGAGACATTCAATCGAGATAAGCTACAACTCATGAGGGCGTGTTCTCACTCTCTATGCTCATCTCTTGGAAGTAGTAGAGTCTGACTACTCTCTGAGCAATTCCAATCATCATCCCCGAACGACGATCCTAAAGAATACAACCATCAAAAAATAATTTATCAATGCAATCAATATCATTTGTCAACTTTCTGACAAATAACAAGTTATATTGCAAATTGGGAATATATAAAACATTCTCCAAACTTAGATTTGTTGTTAGTACAATCGATCATTTATTAGCAATGAAACTACAGGAGCTATCGATAATTCCGATTGTATCATTTCCAGATCATAGATGGTAAGTCGAGAAAATTTGTGAGCATCCATTCATGCGATCCGTGACAACTGAATCAATAATTCATTGACTAGAGACTGAATAAATTGTGAAAGTCATCGGAAGGTACCTTTTTAGACGTGGGAGGTCAGCGGATCCATAGAGACTTAATGTGTTTTATGTAGCTTGATCCATTGTTCCATCTGGTTTCTCAGAGATTTGGAGGATTCTGGGATGATTGGGTAGATTCGGACGTTGGTTGAACCGTGATAGATTCAGACGTTGCTGTGTGTCCTTTGATAGCAGATAATTTGGCCGAAAATTTGTATGTCGGTTCACCATGAAGTTTTCAACACTTGTCCCGAGTGTGATTGAATTTGTGACAGTAAACACAAGTTGAATGACCGATGCGAGGTGGCATGAACGAGGGCTGAGCACGATTCAAGATGATTCAAACAGAAAAAAAATGTGGCTGGGATTCCGAGATATTGACTGATTTATTGGTCTCCGGTAGACGGATAACCATAGGTAGGCTGAAGGAAAGAGCCACACAGTGAAAAATAATGCTGCAGGAAGAAGCTGGAAGCAGCCACACGGCAGTGAATTCGCAGGAAGAAGCAGGGGCTCGGAGGGCCTGTTGCTTTTTAATTACCACGTCAGCAAAAACAGCAGGAAGGCCTGTAGAAAGGCCAGCTTTGAGAAGCTTGCAGCTTTTAGGGCTTGGGGAATGGGGTGGTAGAAAAAAAACCCGCCGGGCTGGAATCAGCCGGTTTAGAGAAGCTGCTGGGAGCAGCTGAAAAGGCGAAGATGAGGAAGATCCAAAAAACAATGAATTTTCTGCCATTTCTTCTCATCACAACCTTCTATTTTATTCAATGGGAGCAGGTTGTCAAAAGAGTGGCAAAGCAACAACAATTGGAGTGACACAGGCAAAGCAACCGAACAGTGGCTGAAGGAGCAGCAGAAAAGAACATGGCTGCAGGAACCATATGGGGAACCATACGGCTGAAGGGAAACGGTTGCCGGCAGATGCTTGGACACAGAAGGAAATCTGCTGTTGGAACCACGAAATGGTTGGTTGCCGTTGGGAAACCTGTGGCTGCTGCTTGGAAACAGAAGGAAACCTGCGGTTTGTAGAACCAAGAAAAACGGTATCAGGAAAATGGCAGCAGGACCAAGAAAAAAGAAAAAAACTGCAGCAGAAAAAATCAGAAGAGGAAACCACTGGCTGCTGGAACCATAGCTTAAGCCGGTGGCTGCTGGAACTGGCAGAGGAGGCCGGCGACTGCTGGATCTAGGGTAAGGCTTTGATGCCATGTTGAGATTTGGACTAGAGCAGCATAATTTTATTGATAGAAGAGAGGTATTTTAACCCAATTACAATAAACACAACAATGGAGAGAAATAACACAGAATGAAACAAATAGGAAATAAAAGTTAATAATTGGTAATAATGGCTACGGATTGCTGTTATAATTCTAATAGTTTTTTATGTTGATGCATTATTTCTTAGAATTTACAGTGATAATCAGATTTCCATTTGCAAGGATTCATTTTTTGCTTTCCCATTTTTTTCTGCAGAAAAGCTTATAGCTTCTTACTTGAGTAAAGTTGGTCAGAAATGCTTGTCCACTTATCGTTCCTATGGAACCTATGTGGTTTTCTTGACAGTCCTTCTAACATTGTATCTTGTTAGACCGAACTACATATCATTCGGCTACCTCTTTTTCCTTCTCCTTTGGATAATAGGACGGCAACTTGTTGGGCAAACCAGAAGACGTCTCTGGTTTCCTTTAAAAGTATACTCAACCATTGTGTTTGTTTTTACTTACATCTTGAGCACTTCAAAAAGTCTTGAGAGTTATTTATCAAAATGGATTGATCTTTATGCATATCTGGGATACAGTCCCGAGTCATCTTTGCCGAGGAATATTTGGGAGTCTTTAGCTGTTTTGATTGTAATGCAGTTTCACAGCTATGAAAGAAGGCGGAGCCGTTGCAATGTGATATTTGAGATATCAGATGCATCCCAGAAAGGATTTCTTGGTTTTATGAGAAGATTCCTGATATGGCATTGTGAAAAGATTTTGTCTGTGGCAGTTTTTTATGCTGCTTTATCTCCTATTAGTGCATTTGGATTTCTTTATCTTTTGTTTCTCATCATTTGTTCCATTTTACCTAAGACCTCTCGGATTCCATCCAAGCTGGTCTTAGTCTATTCAGGACTTCTTGTGATGTATGAGTATCTGTTCCAGTTGTGGGGCAAGGAAGCACATATGTTCCCAGGCCAGAAGCTCTATGGTTTATCACTTTTTCTTGGTCTGAGATCATTTAAACCAGGATTTTGGGGGCTTGAGTCTGGTTTGAGAGGAAAGATTATGGTAATAGTTACTTGTATCCTTCAGTACAATGTTTTCCACTGGCAAGAGAAAATGCCAAGCTGCCAAGTAAATAGTGGGAAGTGGGATGAACCTTGCCAGTTGTTTATCACAAATGAACATGATTCGGAAGATTACCTCTATCATGATGAAGAAAAGACACCATTGCTTGGTAGCAGTACTCTTTTTTCAAAAAATGGCGGTGTTGCTGCTAAATCAATTCCTTTTGTCAGCTCCAAAAGCTATGAAACTTCAGATCCAGGTCCTAGCATGAGAAGTTCAACTACTGCCACAAAAAGATATTCACTTGGTTTTCTATGGGGCAGTTCAAAAGAGAGTCATAAATGGAACAAGAAAATTATTCTTGCTTTGAGAAAGGAGAGACTTGAGATGCAGAAAATTACCTTGATTATATATACCAAGTTTTGGATTGAAAATATTTTCAGACATCATGGTCTTGAAATCAATATGATTGTATTGCTTGTGGCAAGTTTTACAGCGTTAAATGTCATCTCAATGTTTTATATAGCATGTCTTGTCACATGCATCTTTCTGAAACGAGATGCCATCCGAAAATTGTGGCCCATATTTGTTTTAGCATTCGCTTCTATTCTTGTGCTCGAATATTTTGCATTTTGGAAAAAAAATATTCTTTGGATTCATTTTCCAACGGATGCAAATGTCCATTGTCATGATTGCTGGAGTAACTCTAGTCTTTATTTTGACTATTGCACAAAATGTTGGCTTGGTATGCCCTCTATATTAAATTCCTTTATTATATTCACTTTTTTCATGCTAATTGTCCTAATTATTTTATCTTTTCTCAAGAAATTCGCGACTTGATATTTTATATACAGGGATAGTCGTTGATGATCCAGGAATGCTTGTCAGCTATTATTTGGTATTTATTTTCTCTTCTCTTAAGCTCCGTTCAGATCGTTTGAATGGCTTTTCAGAGTCGCATACCTATCACCAGATGATGTCTCAAAGAAAAAATGCATCAGTTTGGAGAGACCTATCATTTGAAACTAGAAGTTTCTGGACTTTCCTTGATTATATAAGGTTATATTTATACTGTCATTTGTTAGACATTGTTCTTGCTTTGATTCTAATTACTGGAACAATGGAATATGATATACTTCACCTCGGCTATCTTGGATTTGCTCTTGTTTACTTCCGGATGAGGCTTGAAATATTGAAAAAGAAGAACCAAATTTTCAGATATGTGCGTATTTATAATTTTATTCTTGTTGTTCTTTCGTTGGCTTATCAATCTCCTTTCTTTGGGGATTTTAGTTCTGGTAAATGTGGCACTGTGGACTATATTTATGAGGTTATTGGTTTTTATAAATATGATTACGGGTTTAAAATTAAATCACGGTCTGCACTGGTTGAAATAATAATTTTTCTCCTGGTTTCCATGCAATCATACATTTTCTGCTCCAAAGAATTTGAAGACATTGCAAGGTACCTTGAAGCGGAGCAAATTGGCGCTATGGTACGTGAACAAGAAAAAAGGGCTGCACGGAAAGCTGCTCGGTTGCAGGATTTTCATAAATCTGAGGAGGATAAGCATCATCGCAATGTGCAAGTGGAAAAAATGAAGTCAGAGATGCTTAATTTGCAAACCCATCTTAAAATTATGAACTCTTCAGGGGATTTTCCTGATGTTTCTGTTCCTGCATATAATGAGGGCCTACGCCAAAGGAGATGTTTTTCTCAGAGTATTGCCAATAGTGATAATGTGCTGGATAAATCGACCATGCAGGTTCATGAAGGATCAGAAAGTTCCTTTAATTTTCCAACATCTAATGAATTGAAGAATGCTTCGCTGCCTTCAGTAGCTTTAGATCTAGAAGGTTCACCCGTCAGTGCAAGGGGCCATAGCTCATTGACAATGGAATTGTTGAAAGTTCCTTCAAAATCTGTTTCTGATATAAGTGAACTCCCTGAAAGATATGCTAATATTGAAACTTCTGCTGATAAAAGCACAAAAAGGAAGGGTGTAGAAAATCCATTAGTTTCTGCTGTGCAGCTCTTTGGTGATGGTGTTTCTCAAGTCCAGTCCCTTGGAAATCAAGCGGTCACAAATATAGCAAGTTTCTTAAACATTAAGCCTGACGAAAATGATTCAAATGGCCATTCTTCTCCAGAAGATGGGATCTATCATGAAATAGAGAGCCGGGAAAATGCAGTATCCGGGTATTTAGCTAGATCCATTTCTGCTAGCTCTAACTCTGACTCAACTCCACCAGCTAGCTTGCAGATCCGAAGAATAATTCGTTATATATGGTCACAAATGAGATCAAATAATGATATTGTGTGCTATTGCTCTTTCATTCTTGTGTTCCTTTGGAATTTCAGTTTACTCTCTATGCTCTACCTCGCAGCACTTTTCCTATATGCTCTTTGTGTTAATTCAGGTCCTAATTATATATTTTGGGTGGTTATGCTTATTTACACAGAAATCAATATACTTCTTCAGTACTTTTATCAGATTATCATCCAGCATTGTGGCTTGAGTATTCACATAGAATTATTGCAAATGTTGGGATTTGCTGAGAACAAGATAAAAGCTTCTTTTGTAATAAGCACCCTTCCACTTTTCCTGGTGTATGTTTCAACCCTTCTTCAGAGTTCAATAACTGCTAACGATGGGGAGTGGGCACCGATAACGGAGTTTAAGTTTCTACATAGGAGACAGCATTATACAGAAGAAACAACTGTTAGCTATAGTCTTAGAGACAAACTTAAGCACTTATTCTTTCCATTAATAAACCTTGCTAAACTAATAGCAAGAAGTTTTTCAAGATACTGGATGTCTCTGACAAGAGGATCTGAATCACCTCCATATTTTGTGCAATTGTCAATGATGGTTAATAAGTGGCCAGAGGATGGTATTCAGCCGCAGAAGATAGAATCAGTAATAAATAAGTTGCTCAAGATAGCGCATGAAGACAAATGCAAATCTTATATTCCTAATTCATGTCATTCTACTAGCAGGGTACAAATCCAAAGCATCGTGAGAAGTCAAGAAGATTTAGATGTTGCTATTGTTATTCTTGAGGTTTTGCATGCTTCCCCTTTAGCAGAATGTCCTGCGGCTGAGTGGCATTGGTCACTGACTCCAGCTTCAGATGTTGCCACAGAGCTTCTTTTGGCACAGAGTGCAGGAATTTTTGAGGAGATTGGTTTTCCATATCCTGTTATCTCAGTAATTGGAGGTGGAAAGAAAGAAATTGATCTTTATGCATACATATTTGGTGTAGACTTGGCTGTTTTCTTCCTAGTCGCTATTTTCTACCAATCTGTTATAAAAAATATAAACAAATTTCTTGATGTTTATCAACTAGAGGATCAATTTCCCAAAGAGTTTGTTTTCATTTTAATGGTAAGCACATGTTGAGTTATAAAGTTTGTGAAATAGCTTGAAAAATTTTTACAGGATGTATGTTGAGGTTTTAAAATTTAATTTTTTTTTTAATTAGTTTTAAAACATATATCCCTTCATTTATATTTGTTTTGTTCATTTTAATCTTGTCGTGTACGTTGTTTTCTTAGTTGTATGTTTATTTTATATTTCCACAGGTTCTCTTTTTTCTAATCATACTCGATCGCATCATATACTTGTGCTCTTTCGCCAGAGCAAGGGTCATTTTATATCTTTTCAATATATTCCTCTTTACATACTCGGTCACTGAATATGCTTGGTACACGAAACCATCCCACCGGTGCATTGGAGGTTTTGCTCTTCGTGCCATTTATCTCACAAAAGCAGTTTCCTTAGCCCTGCAAGCCGTGCAAATTCGTTGTGGGATTCCTAATAAAAGTACTTTGCATCGGCAGTTTTTGACTCGTAAGGTTTCACAAATTAAATATTTAGGCTTTCGACTCTATCGTGCGCTTCCCTTTCTATATGAATTGAGATGTGGACTAGACTGGTCTTGTACAACTACTTCTTTGACGATGTATGATTGGCTGAAGGTAAAACTCTCTTTAACACATTTATTTTTCTTTGGTCAAATATTTTTATGCTCAATTCTTTTTAATGATGTTGCTAATATGAGATCTTGATTTGTGCAGATAGTTACATTTTCTGCGGGTCATTCTCTGACATCTCTTTTTATTTTATTTTTTACATTTTATTTTGTTTTATCTCCATTTACTTCAAGTCAGCACAGAAATAAAATTTATAAAATTTCATTCTTGTCCTAACAATAAACAAAGGTTTGAATCTTTTACTAATGCTAGCACTTCAGTATTACTACGTTTTCTTTAATATATTTACTAGTAACATGTGTCATATGTGGAAAATGTTGAAATTACTTGAAGTGTATGTAAAGGGGGAAGTTCATAAGCCTTTGTACTTGCCTATGGTTTGGATTGGCTACTGTTCTTTACAACCTTTTATTGTGAGATTTTATTTGTTTAAAAAAAATTGCTTAATGGGATGTACTATTTGAATGAATTCATGCATTATTATTATTATTTTTGTTATAGAACCTTTTTTTGGTTTCTTATACTTTTAGATTGGTTAATTCTTATACGACTTTTTATTGTGAGATTTTACGTGTTTAAAAAAACTGGCTTAATGGGAATTTACTATGCGATTGAATTCATGTGTTTTTTTTTTATCTTTTTGTTTGTTTGTTTATTGTTATGGAACTTTTTTCTTTGGTTGCTTATGCTTTTTAGAATGGTTAATTATGTCCTCCTTAAATGGAAGTATTTCATGTAGGGGCCGATTTTATGTGTTTTTGAGAGTTTGAGTACTATTGTAATCTCCCAATGCCAATGATGCCTTGTTAAAAGCACTTGATGAGTACGATTGTAGGGGTCATTCTATCAATTTAAGCTGTGATTGTAAGATTCCTTTGTGTAGGTATAATTTTGCTGCAAGTATTGTGCCTTTGTTTAATAGTGTTATAAGAACTAAGGTTGGTTAAAGTTCTAGGAAACTGTGTCATGACATGTTTGGTGCAATTTCTGAAGATTTCCGGTACCATTGTGGTATTGTTTCGTGAAATCTTTTAATGTTTATTTAGAATGCATACTTAGGTGTTATTTTATCATAGATAGACAAATGTTCATCTTGTTGATATAAAAGCCAAACCGTGTACTTCAACGCATTAAATATTTGTAAGGGTTGCTTGTCTCATCATGTCTGTCCTATTCTTATTTTAAAGAAAATACGTTGAGCTCATGGTTGTGCCCAGTTTGTTGAAACAGGTTATTTATTGTTTTAATACTAATGTTGGTTTTTGTTGATAGTTGGAAGACATTTACTCAAGTTTATTTCTTGTCCAATGCGATGCTATTTTAAATAGAGCCTCTCATAAACAAGGACAAAGGCAGAGCAAGATGACAAAGTTTTGTAGTGGGATATGCTTGTTCTTCATATTGATATGTATCATTTGGGCCCCTATGTTGGTATGAATTTGCCTTATCTTTCCCACTCAATTTATATCTAGTTTTTTGGAAAATGAAACCATTTAGTGGCCTCATTTAATGATTTTCTAATATATAAGCCATACTATTAGCTTATTCTTTTGAATACAAGTACCACATGTCGTCTTGTTGTAAGTGTTCAATTTTCTGTCATTTACTCTTAGTTATTGTTATCAAGTTGGCATGAAAATAATTTTCCAACATTGAAAAACTTGCATTTTTCATCTACACCCCCATCTTCGACCAAAAAACCACAGTGCTCCGCCAGAGACAGTGAATTCATATGCTCCTAATCAACTCCAAGTTATTGACATTATTGATCTTCAAAAGGATACCCCTGAAGCGTTACTATCCCCGACTTTGGAATCTCCTATCGTGGGTGAGAGGGAGATTCTTCAAACCCCACCTTGCTCTAAAACCTATCACCGATATTACATGTGACAATACTTCTACTGCTTCACTACCGCCTCATTAGGTCGAGCAAGCTATTAATGTTACTTAGACTCATGAGGATCATGATGTGTAACAGTCTACACCTGTCCGACCAAGTTTGGAACAATCTATTGATCAGATGAGTCAATCATCGGATGAGGAATGACAGACCTACACATCCAGGAGGAGGAGGAAGAAAAAGAATGAAGAATGGAGACCTACTTGAGCTCTGGAATCTGATGGATGATACTTTAGTTACGTTGGGCAATGATACTCACCTTACTAATTTATTAGCCAGCTCACTTCTGAGAACTAGAGACAGAGATTACTAAGTGGGACGTCCCTGACATTTTTGCGCCCTTTGGCAGTTTTTTGATTTTTTACCTTGATGTATCTTTGTTTTATTTGAAATTTGTGTGTGTTGTATTGTCTGAGTTGGGCTTTTTTTAGGCCCTCTCATAAAACATTTTTCCGCTTTAATATATTTGCCCTCGGGCTTTTTCTAAAAAAAATATACATATACGTAAACACACACACACACACACACACACACACACGATGTATGGATGTATCTATGCACGTATATATGTATGCACACACACACGCACATGTGCATGCACACACACACGCACTATCTATGCACGTATATATATGTGCACACACACACGCACATGTGCACACACACATGCATCCATCCATAACAGCACAATGCTCTTGCCTGCACCTGCAAGCTTTAGTCACACATCACTCTAGTTGCTACCATATCCACATTTCATAGTCATATGCTTCTTCAGTTGAAGCCTGCTCTACTTAGTTTTTGCTGAACATTATCCTGTGACCCACTACCACAACTACTTTCCTCTCTTGCCTGCTGCATGTATTTTGCGTACGACTTGCCTTTCACTTACTACATGTAATCACACTTTGATGGCTCATCTCCCAGCCATTGCTTATTTCCAGCTATTGCTGCCTCTCTGACTAAGAGTTTATGCGTCCTAACCACACAACCTCTGCAAGCATTCTCCTCTCTGTTATTGGTTGACCCATCACTCATCTTTTCTTTATTTGAGGTGGCGTCTGTTAATGACATCCTCTTCATTTTACTCTGAGAGAGCATCCTCATCCTCCATGTGTACATCTATCATACTCAGTAGTATTTTCTCTTATGGTATTGGGCATTTCAATTTCTTGTGAGATGTATTTATAAACTTGTTCATCTTGACTTTGCTTTTCAAATGAATAGACTTTGCTAAATGCATCAATCGGCAATCATCTTACTATTTTGTTTCGCCTTGGATTTCAATAACCTTAGGGACTCTCTAAGGAATGTAAGACTTTCTATGCTCTAAATCTTAGTAGAACAGTTTCTCTTGGATTTACGCTTTTTTTTTTTTCTAACTTATTTCCTTGCAACAAAGTGGTAAATTTTAGGGGTACTTCAAAATATTGAAAAAAATGGTGATGAACATCATCAGCATCACCCCTTACCACTAATCAATAACCAAACGAGTTTCTCATTTATCTAAACTCTCTTTGGTCTTCATCCACACAATCTTTTGAGCTCAATTAATTGCAAATCTTTTTGTGTTGATTTTAGGTTTAGGTTTATGTTTGGCTCTAGTATCAATTGCCATAGATCTAGGGGTAATAGACAATGTGAGAGGATTGGCTATGAGAGCTGTAAGATGAGAAACAAAAGAGGAGACAATAACAATGGTTGAGGAACGACAAAGAATTGTGGCTGGACAACAAACTGCACGCCAAAACAATAGTGCGGTAACATATTGACCGGTGTAGAAGGTCGAACATTCAGGAGAGATCACCACTCCAATCCAATTAGGCTGCAACCATACTACCTGAGAAAGATTTATGGATTCAATATTTTGAATAGAATAAACGAGGGGAAACAAACTCTGTTGTATAAACCAAAAGTCAAAAAGTGTTCAACATGCTCTAAAGTTACGTACTTATATAGGACAAGAAATTTGACCTTAATTATAAATTATGTAAATAGGGCCCACAATGCCCTATCAAAAATAAGCGAGAAAACTTACGCTACACTATTCACCTATCAAGAAATCTCGTTCCCACAAATCCCATCTTGATCGGGATGCTCTTGCCTCCCCCGCCGTAAATGCTTCCACTTCGATAACTAATACATCTTGCCTGATCCAGTGCTCAAGTAGAATATAGGGTTATCTCACCTCTATAAATGTTGCGGTCTATGATAATATAGCTACTATCTAAATTGTTGGCAATCCTATTTTTAATCAATGATCTAAACAAAAACTGATTATTTCTTATCTGGGAAAGTTTTTTAATAGAATAATTCCAAGTCCTCATGTTGCCAATGAAAAATAATTGATTAACATTTTTGTGGAGGTTTTAAGATCATTTGCTAATACACTCCCTCAATAAAATAATATCCTTAGTTGATATATATGCTCTATCTTGAGGGAGTTTATTAGCAATATCAGTTATGAAGGTTTCGTTAGAACTTTTAATGAGCGGTGTTTGCTATTCAATTGTTTCTTAGACCATCATTTACGTTTCAGTATTATAACAGAGGGGTGTTGTAATGAATACAAGGAGTTTTACCTTCTATGGGAACAAGAAGAAGTTGCAAGAGGATATTATTTTTGAATCGTCTCCATGAATGATTCTTTAGAGTATTTGACTAGTCAATAACATATGTGTATTACTTGTGTTGCCTCAATCATGTCATATAATGCATGATACTAAAATGCTTTTGATGCACGAAGAAATATTATAAATGGATCACTTTCTGATACTGGAGTTAACCCAAATCACAATATAAAAAAATTATATTATTACCGAAAACAAATAGACGGTTACGATTAACTCACTAGAAAAAGAATTTACGACAAACACAACACAAACTCACGGCAGGGCTCTACTCATGAGTGGTGGAGGTCGGCTAGGTGGTTGGGGAGCGAAGGTAGATGGCTGAAATAGTGTTGTAGGTATTGCGACAACCAAAGAAGGGGCTGGAAGTAGAATGTTGGGACAACAACGACAGCAGATGAGGTGGCAAGCGGAGCAGCGAGGCGCGGTAGGAAAGGCTTGAATAGCTAGAGGATAGCAGGAAAACAACATATTTAATGTTTTCTGGATGACGACAGCGAAAGGACGAAGTGAAGGATTGTAGGGTAACAAGGGGCAATTGTCTGGGGCGGGGGGTCGCAAGCAAGAAGAGCTGGAATTAGATGACCGCACTGAAAAACAACAAAAGTTGCTATCATGGGGTGGTTGCAGCGGGGAAGGACAACGTGGAGTGGCAAGGTGCGATGGGGGAAGGATAAATCACCTCTTAGAAACCAAGATACAGCTAAAGCACCACTTGAAATCTTAAGATACAACCCTCAAAGGGAAGAAGTGACGTCAACGGTTGTCCCGATACAAAGCACACCAAAAATTGAATTTCAAACTCTAATACAATACATATATATGAAAGGACTAAAAATGAATGAAAGATAATATGAAAGGAAGCATAAGAAATGAAAACAGGGTTATTTTGGCTTATATCACAATTTATATTTTCACGGTACTATAGCAACTGCAGTACCACGTCCACAATAAGCTCCCGCTTTACTTTCTCGTGGTTGGGGGGAACTTTAACTTCATTCATTGAAGCTTCTGCTTCCTTGTATCACAGAGTCAAGTCTGCCACTAAAGGTAGCAGAGATATTGTAATCCCCTGATATGTCGATTATATAGGTGTTATCATTCCACAAAACATCTTGTTAGAATAAATATGCACCCTCTCTTGACATATCATGAGTTGGAGCTGCATATAGATGCAAGTTCACGGTAAGTATCCAATGCGAGAAATGGAAGAAGAATGCTTTTGACTCAAGAGTTACATTGCGAGAACTTGCATCTATATGCAGCTCCAACTCATGATATGTCAAGAATTAGCGGAATGTACCTGATAAATCAATATGTGAGGAGAAATCTACTCTGGGGGTGAAGTTTGTGGACACACCACTTTCATTAGCAACCACTCAGGAGAGTTCCCTTTTCCATTGATAGGACTTATATGCCATTGAAGAATTTCCTTTCCCATCAAGCTCCAAAGATAAATTTTTTTCTCGCTTTTATCTTGACATCTGATGATAGGTATATTGCTGAATTGAATCTAACATCTGAATAACTTCATGTAATCTTCTAAACGTGGCACAAAAGGGCCCTATTTCTTACGTGCTGGACCTCTCTCAATAGGGGCAACTTAGGAATGATTCTATAGATTCGAATGGTCTGAATTTTTTCTTTCTGTGGTTGCTTTGCATCTGATGTCAGTTTCTCGAACTTAAGACCGCCTTGGATACTTACCGTGAAGTTGGTTGGAGTCTCTTCCACGAGGTTAGTTGGAGCTAAGTGCATCTTTTCTTCCCTAACGGAAAGCTGGTCCTTTGTATCCTTACCGTTTTAGTGTCCATTGCGTCATTACTCGAACGTCCTGCTCAGTGAAATAGATCACCCTCTGGTTGTGCAGTCTGATTCAACATGCCCAAATTCGTGGCACTTGTAACACTTCCTGGTTGTGACAGATTTAGGGATGCAGATTGGTTCCACATGTTTTCTACTCTGAATTAGCTTTTGCTCTGACAGGGTTGTCTTAGGTGTTCTCTTGGGTGTACTCTGGTTTTAAGATCCAGATGTTGAATTATGTCTGTAAGATGTGGTGGTCGCTCTCTGATGTGGTCTCTCCATTTTCGAAGCTTGGTCTGAATGGACTGGCGTTGTTTCTTTCGTTGCATTTTTAGATTCTCCCGTTCTCTTTTTCTACTCACCAGATCACTATCGAGGCTAATCTCACTGGGTTTCATTGTCAATGTCCGCAAGCCTCCACTGATGTTGGGGGATCTCTTGTTGTATTTCTTCCCACTTAGGCTCGGGCATGTATTGCCTTGGTGGCATGGCTAGGGGTTAGAGTTGGGAGGGAGTTGTGAGGTGAAAGAGGGCGACAAGAATTGATTTATGTCGATGATTTATAGATTTTGTAAATAAGAGGAAACTTAGGGTTAGTTCAAAGTTTGACTATGGTTTGGAAATAATAAAGAAAATTTTTGGTGGAGGGATAATGTGGATGTTAGGAAATTTTAGGATAGTAATAGGGTTAAACTAGCTCAGATACCAAATGATACCAGAGTTAACCCAAATCATGGTATAAAAAACTTATTTTACTACTAAAAATAAATAGGCGATTACAATCAATACACTAGAAAGGGAAATTACAACAAGCACAACACGAGCTCAAGCAAGGGCTCGACCCATGGGTGGTGGTCTGCTGGGTGGTTGGTGAGTGAAGGTAGATGGCTGGAATGGGGTTGTAGGTGGTTGCGACAACTAAAGGGGGGGCTGAAATTGTATTGAAAATGAAGCAGAATGCTAGGACAGTAAGGGCAACAGGTGAGGTGAAGTGGCAAGCGAAGCGGCGAGGAACTGTAGGAAAGGTTGGAATAGTCGGGGGACAGCAGGAAAACAAGAAGGTCTGTAATGAGAAGATTATTGTGAAAAACAACAAGTTGCTGTCCTGAGGGCGGCTGCAGCAAGGAAGGACGACATGGAGCAGCGTGGTGCGATGGGGGAAGGATAAATCTCCACTGGAAACCAAGATACAGTCAAAGCACTACTTGGTATCTTAGGATACAACTCCCAAAAGGAAGAAAAGACGCCAGTGGCTGTCTCGATACAAAACACATCATAAACTGCTTTCTAAATCCTAATACAGTACATATAAAGAAAATGACTAAAAATGAACGAAGGAAAATAGAAAAGAAAGCAAAGCAGAAGAAAGGAAAACGGTGTTATTTTGGTATGTCCAGCTATACATATTTGTGTGGTACTGTATCTGCTACTGTAGCTACTATAGTATCGCGTTACCGCATCACTCTCTTTATCAGTTGGTAAGTCAACTTTTTAAGCTAATTTATCTGTCCTTTAATGGGAACTATGCTTGACATTGAACTCACTTAATTTAGACTAATTAAAATTACTTTTGTATATTTATCCTTTTCATGTTGTCCTCAACAAAACTCTGCATGTATGATTAAAACCTTTTTTTTTCTTCCAGATTTATAGCAGTGGTAATCCAACAAATATTGCAAATCCTGTTACATATGTAAGTGTACAGATTGATATTCAAGCAAATGTTGGAAGGCTAACTCCATTCCAGACTAGTCTTTGTGAGATACTTCCGTATCAATCTTTGGAGTTTTTTGATAAGCCTTACTTGTACACTTACAATGTACAAGACATACAGTTGATCTGTTGCGAGTCTGATGCCAGCACGATGTGGCTGGTTCCTCCTGTGGTTCAACAGAGATATATCAGATCTCTGAACAGTAGCTTGCAGTTTATTTTTACTTGGGTTTTTATGAGAGAGAGGCCTAAAGGAAAAGAAGCTGTTAAATTTGAATCCTCTGTCGAACAAAGCGCAGATGAATTAAAGGAAGTTCTCAATGGAACAGGCGGAAGTATTAGACTACTGAATGCATATCCTAGATACTTCCGAGTTACCAGCTCCGGTGAAGTGCGGCGCCTTGAGCAAACTGTATGATGAGCTTACTTTTATTATTAAAAAAGCCAATTTTATAAAAATGTTTTTCAGGCAGTCACTATCGTCCTTTAAGTTAATTTGTTGTTCTAAATTCATATTTCACTTTTACAGGACATTTCTGTGGGCGGGGATCTTTTTCTCAACCGTGGAGATTCATCATGGTGGTCATTTCATGATGCCGATGCCTTAGACAAAGCGGAATGTGGAGGGATGAGTGGACCAATTGCTATAGTTGTTTCTGAGGAGAGCCCACGTATGCCAGTACTTACAACTGCATTTTTTTTTATTTTGCAGGAGTTCTGATATTTTCTAGCACTGTCATACATAAATATTAACACTTGTTCATACCAGATCTACATCTGGTACGGTACTAAGAAACCAAAGATCACTAATCAGTTGATAATATTCTAGTGTCTGGGATGATTAAAAGTGTTGGGAATGTTTGGAGAAGAGTAAGAAAGAAAAATCTTAGGATTGACAAAGATTGGAGGAGGAAAATTTATTATGGCTGCTGTCTGGCAGGAAAGTCAGCGGTGAAACACCATTCGATGCAACTTTCATCTATGTATGGATGACAGGGAAGACCTATTAACTGCTCTCTTCAAGATACAATTTTGTCATTTGAAGAATAAAGTGTTACTGCTATCTGGACGGGATAAAACAGAAAAGAATTACTAAATAACACAAAAAGTCTGTATCCAAGTCAGAAGCAATATACTAACCCTAAGGGACTGTTTGGTTTGCTAAAAATGTAATGCAGTACGAGTAATGTTTTGTATTTAAAGTATTTTTGGAGTTCTTTGGTTCGGTGTAAAAGAAATGAACGAATTTTTTTGTTTGGTTTAAAGTAAAATAAAAATAGTGTATTTTAAAATAATGCAAATGTCGATAGTAGAAGCGTGGGCGGGGATGGGGGTGGCGACAGAGGTAGTGTCATGACCCGACCTGAGACTTGAAATTAAATAAGGTCTAACTATGAAATTAAATTTTCTGTTATTTTATTTCAATTACTAACCGTTTAATATCTAACTACTATATTAAATATCCACTAAAAATACAATTAAGTTGACCAAATAAAAGTAGCTACTGTAGATTTGAGAATTGAGTAGGATTATATTATTGAGCAGCAAAAAGGGTATAAATACATGATACAAGGGGTATAGAAAAGGAAAGATATAATACCCAAATCTTTCTTAATAATACCCAAAATATGAAAAGAAAAGGCGTAAACTAAATAATAGAAAAGGAAACAACATAAATAGAACTAATTTCTAATAAAATAGCTTCTAATACTTCCCCTCAAGTTGAAGCATAGATGTCAATCATGTTCAACTTGGATTTGAAGTCGTCAAACCACGACCGAGGAGATTCTTTGTGAGGATATTTGCGAGTTGACCACTGGATGAGATAAATGGAATGCTAATTTCCCCGGAATTGAGCTTTTTCTTGATGAAGTGGGGTCAATCTCTGCTTGCTTGGTGTGATCATGCTGGACCGAATTATGTGAAATGCTAATTGCCGCTTTATTATCACAAAATAATTGTAGGGGAGCAGTGACCGATGTATGTAATTCGTGAAGCATGATGCATACCCAGAGCGCTTTACAGATTTCGAATGACATGAAACGAAACTCGGCTTTTGCACTGCTTCGGGCAACCACCATTATTTCTTCAGTTGCCAGGTGACAAGGTTTCCCAACACGAATGAGCAATACCCTGAGTTAGATCGCCGATCATGGACGAACTTGACTCAATCATCATCAATATAAACTACAATAAAACGAGGGGTGCGGCATGAGAACAACAAACCTGAGCCCGATGTGCTTTTTTAAGTAGCGGAGGATTTGGTGAACAACTGTGAGATTGTGCTCATATGGGTTATGCATGAATTGACTTATAACACCTGCGTAACAAATATTGGGGTGCGTATGGGCTAGATAGATGAGTTTCACCACAAGGAATTGGTAATGTTTTGTTCACAATACAATATTGGGAACATCACCCCATTTCTCATTGCGATTCATTGGAACAACCACTGGTTTGCAAAGCAAAATGTTGGTCTTTTTCTATATGTTCACCACATATTTGCGTTGGGAAAGACAAATGCCCCGAGAGGATCAGACAACTTCCATGCCTAAGAAGTATTAATGAGACTCTAAGTCCATTTTAAAGCATGAGACGAGGATGCCTTTAAGAGATTCTAAGGTTGGCAGATCATTATTTGTGAGCACAATATCGTCGACCTAGACGATAAGATAACAATTTGGCCGTCGGGGAATGCCGAAAGAGGAGAATATGATCTGTTTGGGCCTAAGAGAACACATAGCCCTCTATCACCAGCGTAAACTTGCCGAACCAGCTTTGAGGGGCTCTCTTTAGTCTTTGGAGAGACTTCTGTAGTCTGCACACTTGTCCCTAAAAAGCAATAAAGTCAAATCCTGGAGGTAGAGAGATGTCACCTCCCCTATGAGATCGCCTTTGAGAAAGGCATTTTTGAAATTTACAGCAAGGGCCAATCTAAATTCACAACAAGGGACAATATAACTAGAATAGTGTTTAGTTTAGCAATCGGAGTAAACGTCTCCTCATAGTCAACTCCATAGGTTGGTGAGTAGCCTTTGGCAACCAACTTTGCTTTGTTGCGTTCAAAGGTTCCATCAAAGCTAAATCTAGTGCTAAAGATCCACCGACAACCAATTGCTTCCTTTCCCTGATGAAGGTCGACAACATCCCGCGTATGCTTTCATTGAATGAAATTCATTTCATCCATTACTGTAGCCTTCCAAGAAGGGTCCGCCAATGCTGCCTTAATAATGGATGGAAGACAATCAATTAAGAAAGTGGCAAATGCATTATAGGTCAGCGACAAGCTGTGAAATGAGATAATTTGCCATGGAATAAAGAGAGCAAGCTTGATTGTGTACCTTAACGATAAAACTGACCTCCTCAATTGGAGTAGGAGTAATCTCCGCAAGTGAAGTGCTTGGGATGTCGGGCGGGGCGGATTCCAAGTCATGCAAAGAGGTTGCGGGCTCTAGAGTAGGGATATTAGGACAGGTCTCGACTGAGGGTTTGATTCGCCGAGTACAGGAACAGAGAGTGGGTGGAGGAGATGTTAGTCTGGTAGAAGGTGGATCCAGTGGGACAAATGGTTCGAAGGGAATAGTGGCTGAAGGAGTTGGGAAAGTAGTAGTGTCCAAAAAATTTAGCTCCCCCTCACTTAGGGAAGTAGGGAACACTTTCAAAGAATGATACATCGGCACTCACATGGAGTTTATTTGTGATAGGATCGAGACAACAATAGCCATTTTGAGTGGCAGAATATTCGAGGAAGATACACTTGATGGAACGGAGGTCAATTTTAGTACGAGTTGGGGATGTTTTCCAAATAAATGTCATACACCCAAATATTTTGGTGTCTCAAGTGGAAACTAATTGGTAGGAATGCACTGATTCGACTTTGAAGTTTTGTTGTTGTTGAAGTAATTATGTTAGATCCATATGATAGTGTATATCAGTTTTGATGTTAATTGCTGAGAGAAGTAGAATCAACATATCATTTTAGTTTGATCACTCTTCAAATCCCTTCCATCATAGGAATATTCACCATCAGCTCTTCTGTCAACTATATATTCAAAATCTTTCATTCCGAAAAATTGGTCTCTTTTATGAGCAAATACACTATTAGAGGCCACACAATGATCATGGTCATACATATCGTACACAGGCACCATTGATGATTCCAACAGCAAATCTTCAAACCTATCCCTTCTTTAGAACCATGCACGGACTAGCACTAAGTCACACCAAGCCTTTGTGGATCGGCTCATCCGCTTGACGTTGAAACTCTTCGTGCTTCATTTTGAGACATCTTATATGCAGGCTTATTGGGAATGACCGAACCAGACACAAGGTCAATGACATGTTGTACCTCTCTCTTAATTGGAAATCCTTCAAGAATCTCTTTCGTAAATATATCTTCGAACTGTTAGATCCTTCCCCACACTTCGAAGGAGTTACTAGTAGTTGTTCGGAACTCTCGGTTATGATCTAGAGATACCTCATAGCCGTCTCCTTAAGATCCTTCCAAAGCAATGGAGTAAAAGTGTTGATTTCAATCCCCGTCTGAATTTCCTTCTTTAGATGCACCAAAGTGGTTTGAATCCCCTCTTTGATAATGTAATGGGTATTAGCATACCAATCATGAATTGTACAGAGATCATATTGCTAAAGCCGACTAAGCAATATCTAACAAACGTCCATAGGAATTACATCACATGAAAACTACTACTGAAGTTTTCGACTGGTTGAAAAAGACACCATGCATATAGGATGTCTCAAAATGAGCAGGTTGAAACTCTTCGTGCTTCATTTTGAGACATCCTATATGCAGGCTTATTGGGAATGACCGAACCAGACACAAGGTCAATGACATGTTGTACCTCTCTCTTAATTGGAAATCCTTCAAGAATCTCTTTCGTAAATATATCTTCGAACTGTTAGATCCTTCCCCACACTTCGAAGGAGTTACTAGTAGTTGTTCGGAACTCTCGGTTATGATCTAGAGATACCTCATAGCCGTCTCCTTAAGATCCTTCCAAAGCAATGGAGTAAAAGTGTTGATTTCAATCCCCGTCTGAATTTCCTTCTTTAGATGCACCAAAGTGGTTTGAATCCCCTCTTTGATAATGTAATGGGTATTAGCATACCAATCATGAATTGTACAGAGATCATATTGCTAAAGCCGACTAAGCAATATCTAACAAACGTCCATAGGAATTACATCACATGAAAACTACTACTGAAGTTTTCGACTGGTTGAAAAAGACACCATGCATTATTTGTTGACTTTACTTTCAACCCCCTTCTTGAACTACATGAGTGGGTAGGGATGAGGATTAGGTTGAGCAGTTAGCCCACGCTTTTCCACCACGGTTGTTGCAAACACATTCCCACAACTTTCACCGTTGTTGATAAGGTTACAAACATTCTAATGATGTATGTTGTAACCAACCTTTATTGGAAGATTGTTCTACAAATAGGAGACTTCTTATCCCAAATAGTTTTCCTTCATTTGTATGTAAGATTTAGTCGCTCATTGGATTAGTATATTCTTCTTCTACCCCATCATTTTTCTCTATATCAACCTCCACTAATGAAATAATGTGTCTGTTAGGACAATTTGAGGCTATGTGGCCGAACCAATGACATTTGATGCATCATATACTAGATGCAGTTCCTTCCCTTGATGTTGTTTTCAACATTTCGACCACCGAAGCCCGAAATTGGATTGATTTGCTGGAACTGCCCAAATTATTGGTAGGAATGCGTATTAAGGTGTTCCTACCCTATTTCTAGTGCTTTTCAACCTTCATCGCCAAATTAATCACGTACTGTAATTTTTATAACTGTTAGAATTGAACTAAATTAGCGATAGATGGTGGTAAACTACCCAAAAAAAAATGTGCAATAGTGCACTCTTTGGGTTTGGAGAGATTGCACTTCTTCCCCAACTGTACGAATTCAACGATATATTCCTCCACGGATAATTCTTGTTGATGAAGTTTATGAAGCCGGATGAAGAATTTTTATTGATAATGATTGGGAAAGAATTTCTTTTGCATTTCTTTCTTCATTTTGGTCCAAGACATGATCTTAGATTTTCACTCTACCAAATCTTCTTCAAATATTTCCACCGAAGAGACGTTCTTCTCCAATTTGATTGTCACTAGTTTGACGATATGTTCTTGTGACACTTGAATTCTAGAATTCGTTCAAGTATATATAGCCAATTGACGAATTCATCGAGAACCATTCTTCCATCAAAATCAGGAAGGTTGATATTGATTCCAAAATTTAGAGGTTTCCATTGATTTTCACGTATCAAGGTACATTGTGTGAAAAATTCTAGACCCATAAGTAGTGAGAAAATGGACCTCTAATAGCCAAATATTTATCGAGTGAACTCAATTAGTTGCAGGAGTCACTTTTTGCTGCAAACAAAAAGTGAGGAGCTGCAAACAAAAAGTGAGGAGGAAGAACAGTGGTCCCGGACTCCCTGTTATCTGTAATCATGGAACAGATAAGTGGGAGAGGGAAGCTGACATCGATTTAGGGCCACTAAATGGTGTGGGAAGGATATAACAGATAAGAGATGTGTTAAGAGAGTTCTAGGGTGAGAAAAGGAGGAGACGATGACGGGGCTGATCAACGAAAATCTGTGGTTGGACAGCAAATTTAGTCTGCTATCATTAACTTTGCAAATTGTCTTAGTCTCTTGAATTAATCCTAGTATTGTTTGGCCATTATTTCAATCCATTCTTTTTTATTAATCGGTGTTATAAAGGTTGGAAAATACGTTAAATTACTACATGTTTTGTATAAATCTTTCCTAAACACATGAAAGGTTTGAAATCATTATACATCATCATCTTTTGTTGTCCTTTTTTTGTTTATTTTTGTTTTCCCTTCATTATCTATTAGGTGCATTTTAGGCTATGATAATTACTTTAAAAGATAATAATGCCAATGATCCCTTTGAGCATAAGTGCTTTTGAGATCAGCACATATAGGTCGTAAATGTTTCATGGGTCTTAGATGGTTCAATTGGAGATTTGATTAGTTGAAGCACCGGGCAATTTTTTTTGGTTGTAGAAAAGTATTGCAGAACAATAAGGTTGCTGTAAAAATCTGATTTTTGTTGGCAAAAAATTTGCTTTATCAAAATGGTAATGTTTTGATGTACTTTGTAAATGGAATTATTGCTATATAATTACTTGATCAGCAAAATGTAAATATGCAAAAATATGATGCATATCTTCTCCATTTTATGTATAGGATTCAATCATTTTCAATTTGTGAGAAGTTTTTTTATTTTAGAAATGGTTATTTTGCTACCATTATTATGGAGATAATTGATTTTCATCATCATTATAACTTAAATTTAAGAATAATTCAACTTCAAATTTATTGTGGAATTATGGCAAGAAATATCATTTTGTTAGAAGATTGTGCTCTTAGCATCCTTAGTCAAGGGTGGAGCAATCAATGAATTTATTGATCATCATAAAATTAGTTTTTTCTAATTTGATGGGGAGCTTACCGTAATATTGTAGTTGTTACAGTACTGTCAGAATAGTTATTGTGTAAGACGGGTCGAAATAATCTCTTTTTCCTTTTTTCTATTTTATTTTTTATTATACTTCATTTCTTTTTTGTTCTTTTTTTATATATGTGTTGTATTTGGGTTTAGAAGATAGTCTTTCATGTTTTATTTAGGACAGTTGTCGACATCCGTTCTCCCTTCGAGGGTTGTATCCAACGGATTGTATGGTGCTCCAGCTGTGTCTCTATTCCAAGGTGATGATTATTTAGGACAGCCCCTGCATCCCCCTCCCGCTTTACGGCCGCACATTCACCCTTGCTACAGGTCGCTTGGCGGCAGTTCTTTTTTCTGATTTGCTGCAGTTTCCACATTCACGCTTGGCGGCAGTTCTTTTTCGCACTTTTTTCTTGTTGTCTAGTTCTTTTCTTCTTGCCCCTGCCCAGGATCGCCTTCCTTTGGCTACCCGGCAGCCCACCGCATGCTCCATGCTCACTGCCATCGCCTCTAGCCTGCTACCAACCTTGTTGCTATCCTCCCAGCAGCCCACACAACCGTCCCTATCGACTACCGCCATCTTCCCAGTCTTCATTGCAACTTCTCCCATCAACTGGCCAGTCGTCGGCGAGCTTTCGGCCACATCCTCGTTGCAGAAGCCGTCGTTTCCATCCCTCCCTCTTGCTGCAATTAACCCGGGCAGCCCTCACGAATTGTACTCCAGCTGTCTACTTGCTGTCTGCCCCCAGGGAAACCGCTATCTTGCAGTTTTCTGCTTGCCAGCCATCTTTTCCACCCCCGCGCCCCTTCATAAATCTCACCGACCACCACTACCACCCAGGATCCACCATTATTGAGTGTTTGTGTTGTGTAAATTGCTATTTTCTGTTTCAGTGTCTTTGATTGTAACCTCTATATGCTTTTGAGTAATAATATTTGCTTTCCCTATTGTGATTTGAGTTAACTTCGGTATCATAATTGCTTTCTTGTGCAAGATGGCCAAAATTTTAAGCAAGGAAACAAGCATGAGATGTAATAGAAGAAAATTTTAAATGCTTAATGATCAATGACCTCTGCAATCAAGTAGAATAAAATGACAATTATATAACCAAGCCTTGAAAATTTTAGACCTTTTTTAATAAAATTATGTATTTATTTGTATTTTAATGCTTATAAATATGGTGTGAATTATATTGAATTATTTTGCTTGGTTAAAATCCTGTAAGTTCTTACTTTTATGTAATAGAATGTGAAATTTGATAGCTTTGTCCTATCAGTCTACTTATGTTCATAAGCGTAAAAATATTATGTGTTTTCATTTTGTTTTCATCTTTAAATATTAATATCTCTTACCTTGTCATATTTTAAATAGTTGAACCGCCTAATAAGTCTCTCATAAACTTGATTAAATGTTGTTTGAGAGAGGATTGAAAGCCATTTTTTGATTCATGATAGATTAGGAATATAAGACGTTGAAGGATCGATTTTTACCTAAAAGTTAATGCTAGTAGCCATGCAAGGAATGTCTTGTACCATTTTAATCCTCTTGAATATTATTCGACTATGCACTTGAATTTCAGAAATTATTATTTTTAGTTTTAAGCAATCTTGAAAAGAGCAAAATAGTAGTTGAATGCCTTCTTCTTGGAGCAGCCAAATTTAGGTATTAAGATAGTATCAGTACTAGTTTACTTTCTGAAGTTTAATGAATTTTACCTGAATTTAACAAACTATGCGTTGATTATCCAACTTTTAACTAGAATCGTATTTTATTCTGAGCCTATAACAGATTAGAGGGCCTTTTTGTAATTTACTATGGTTTCCAAAGTAGCCCTTCTGGAAACAAAAATCAACTGTTTTCTGCTGGTAAAATATTGGTTGGCAATGTAATAAGGCCATCTTAAGGATCACTTTGTGGTTCTATTTTTTATTTATGACAATGGCGTTTTGGTATTGTACTTGTTTATATATCTTTATGCTTTTCATCTTTTTCTTTTTCAAGTGAGGCATTTTGATGCTTTGGCCCTATGATTCGACTAAATGATGCTTGCAACGTCACACGTTTGCTAAAAGACTGAATTGATCTTTTGCTTGAACAATGTCATTTAAGATCTTGATCTGTTCCTAGTGTAACTGTTTGACAAGAAAACACATAAGCCAGCTCTGCGTCACAAACATATTGATAAATTGCTCATCTTTGATTGCAGGTAAATAGTGTTTCTAAAAATTTGTTGATATCTTGTCTCGAGCACAAGTAAAATCATTGAGCTTGTACTGATTTCACTAGTTCTTGATTGTTCTGTAACTTGTAAAATTATATATATTTTTTAAATGAAAGTTGGGGCAACAAAGTTATAGTAACTTTTATTTCTGCTACTTACAGAGGGCATTATTGGTGAAACACTAAGCAAGTTCAGTATATGGAGTCTCTACATAACTTTTGTTCTAGCAGTTGGCCGGTTTATCAGACTGCAGTTCTCTGATTTAAGAATGAGAATACCTTATGAGGATCTCCCATCTTGTGACAGGTAAATTTAATTTTTAACAATCATTATCCTCCCCTAAAATGGGCATGCTTTCATTGCTTATTCTCATTTTACTCGGTAATTTATTTTAATATTGCATTTCCATTGATATTTAGTTTATTTAAGAGATAAGGTCCCTTAAATAAAGTTTTAACTATAGATGTTCATCCTGGTCATTTGGTGCATCATCAATGCTCACAAATTCTTTGTATTATTGAAGTTATATTGTCTATTTGTGTGATCTTGGATATGAATTCTAGTTCTTATGCAGAACAAAACTCAAATAATTTTCATGTCTATAGGCTCCACACCATATGAATTGCATGATCATGAGATTAGGAGAAAGCAACTGTTTGAAAGCAAGAAAGTTCAGTTTGAAGAGAACAAATATGTAATGAATTTTATGCCTTAGGTAAGTCCATGACATCAAATAATTGTAAACTTTTTTTGACGTTGCTATATTAGTTATGTCATGATGCCTTATAACATGCATTCAAATAGAAAATCTATAATGGATGTTAACTTTCGAGGTAGAAGACTGTCGAAAGAATTGATTGTAATTTGTATGCTAACTTTTGATGTTCTTTTGGTGGACTGATTAGGGAGATATTTTTCTCATTACTTTAATGTGTACATAAAATATATGGTGCTTCAAAAATCAATATAAAATCAATTACCCAAATTAGTTGCCTTCTATAAATAAGAAGGTTGAATGACGCACCAAATAAATCACCTGCCTACAAGGCAAAACTATCAATCAAGCCAGCTTGCCTATGGGGTAGAACGTCGCAGACTCATTCTTCACCCTCAAGGTCAAAGGCATGCCAAATGATTCATTTTGTAGATAGCATAGGTTTGTTAGACGCATCCTTGTGTATCGTTCTAAATTTAGGGTAGCAAGACCATTGTCGTACTTCCCATAAATCTATGGTTATAAATCCCTAGTTTATGAGGCCTCCGGAAGTAGAATGATGAATCCTAGTATACTTATCAAAGTTTCAATGAAATTAAAATAAAACTTTTGCTAACGAGTCTTCCCACTTTCTAAATAACAAAGCCACCATAGAGTCGAGAAGTTCAATATAGCCTTTTATAGTTCTTGCCCTTCTAATAAATGTAAATCAGCTCCTGATTAACTTTAGTCAACACAAATTCAACAAACTCATTAGATAAAATTGGGTCTATCAAATTAAAATCAAGTCAGCTTTTATGCTAACAAGCCCATCAATCAATATCAAATCTGTCAATCAGGAAAGACCAAAATCAGGCAGCTACATTAGGAGTTTTCTATAATTAGGAGCTTCCTTATTTAAATTATTTACATTGTCTTTATTCTAATTTATTTCTCTTTTAGCTGAATATTTAGATTAGGAATATGTATTATTAAGTTATCTAAAATAGATTATGCACTTTATTTTGTACCCAAAATAGATTGTAAGATTATTATTTAATGGAATGAAAGCGAAGGGAAAAGGCATCGAGCCTATTCAGGATTCGACCTATTTTTCTCTAAACTTTGACATGGTATCAGGGCCAAATTTTTGCCCAAACCAGGTGGACCGTCAAGACTCCCTTCCCGCCGGCCTTCTTGCAAGACAAGAAGGGAGGAACTTTTCCTTTAAAAAAAAACGCACTTTCGCCTACTTTTCTCAAAACGTTAATAAAATTCATCCACCAATTCAAACCAAAACCATGAGTCTAAGGTATTGATGCCAGTACAATACAAAAACAGAAATCTATAGTTTGAAAAATCCAGAAGAGAAGAAGAGCTGGACTGAAAATTCTAAGTAAGAGAAAGAATGCATTAACCGAAAGAAAAATGGATGTCAATCACTATCTTTTTGCCGCTCCAGGATACTGAACACACTCCTTAACTTTAAAGGATACCGGAAAGGTTATTAAAACCAATAAAAAACTCTATATTCCCAACCCACACAAAATAACCTCATTTATAAACGCTAGGCTCTCCCAATTATAAATATGTCATCCTAAAACATAGAGACAAAATAATAAACTAAAACACATAAATCAAACATATAAACTGAAACAAAACTCTAGCTCCTGTGTCAGGTGTTCTTCTAAGTCAAACTAATACTCATGAACAATTGATGATCCTAATTCCTGACATGCCTCTAAGCACTTTTTAATCACGTTCGATACCTCTTAATCATAAAGGGTCGTGCTTCGTGCCTTTAAACTATTTAAGGAAAACTGCTATGGTCAGCCTTTTTCCATAGAATCAGTTGGCATAAACCTCGAAAGCATATTTTTGACTGATAAAACAACCTTGGTCTGCTCGGAATACCTAAGAGTGCATAAATCATAGCTACTAAATAAGTTATATTTGATAACTTCGGGGCCCAACTGGACACTACGAAAAATCTTAGATTTGGCACGCCTAAAAAAAGTGTGATGATTATAATTATTATCATATTCCCAATCTTTATTTTATCATCTAAACACTCTCCATTATTCTAAACTCTTATTCATAGAATAATAGATAAAAATGCTTCACAGTCTACAGTTTGTACTTTCTAACCATAATTACCTTTTTTATCATGCAAAATAAAGAAGAGCTTAATCATCTTCTTCTTAATCATTGGCTCATGTTACTCTATGATTCTCTTTTGGAAGATTTACTTACATACCCGTTGAATTCGGGATTATCCTTTACTGTAAAAATGATCCTATATTTATAGACTTGGGGGCTATAAAGTATGTAATTACCTATTTGCTTCTGCTTGAATAAGGACGACACATGTTATTTCAGCATATAAATAAATCATGAATGAATAAATAATTGAACAGATAAATAAAAAATATGAAAAAAATCTTTGATTTGGTTGTCACATCCTTCAATCGTCTACGACTGATGACCTTCCATTGCCCCATATGAGGGCTTTTGGTTGGCCAGTCCATAGGCCTTCCGTCGGCCAAACCACGGGTTTTCGGGCGGCCATGTAGTGGACCTTCGGTCGGCCAAACTATGAGCCTTTGGTTGGCCAGGCTTCCTTGGTTCGACTAGTAGTCGGTGCTCCCTATGAGCGAGACTCCTGTTGTTGAGGCTAGGCTTTCTGGCAGAGGGAGCACTGTCGGTGGCGTCGCATTGGGTGTCAGTGGCCTCGGAGGGTTTCAAGGTTCTTTTTGAAATTATTTGTGATGTCATTTTGAGGAGCTTAATAGAGCTTTTTTGTTGATTTGTTATATCTTAGTCCTTATTCTAAGGGGCTATCGTTTGACAGGTTCTATATACTTTTTTTAGGTAGTTCTTGGTCTGATATTGAATTACATGGGTTTATGTTGATGTGACCTTTGACTTCTGGTGGGCCGTCTGTAACCACGCTTCGAGCCATAAGATTTCTTTGAGATTCATGCTAACACATTGTGGGTGTACAATACCATTCCTCTTATGTATTTATATATCTAACACCTAAACTTCAACTCTTTGATACATGCTATATTATCCATGCATGAGAAGGTGTGTTTCACATAAAAGCTAAAACAGCAGAATTTGTTTTTGTGATATGAAAGATTTGGGTAGGTGTTAATGTAAAATGTGAATTTCAAACACAATGGATTGGTTGGTAGGTATGTAAATGCCCCCTTCTCTTTCTCTGTTGTTTATTCTCCATACATAATGAGAGTTTACTGTTGTTCTTCAGGCTGATTGCAATCTGCGAGGGCATATATGCTGCACGTGCGGAAGGTGAGCTGGAGGTGGAAGAAGTTCTTTATTGGACACTGGTGAAGATTTACAGATCTCCTCACATGCTTCTTGAATATACTAAATCAGACTGAATTTTGGGCTTTTTGATGATCAAATGCTCGCAGGATCAGATATAATCAAATATACAAAATCCAAGAGTAATAAAAGAGCCATCTTGGAATAATTTGGTCCGAAAGGTTGTCTTTTTTTTAGGTTGTCTTTTTTTTCTTTTTTCTTTTCTTTTTTCTTTTTTTTTTTTTATACAAAAACCAAGATGGCAGCTTTTATTGACTTATATACAAAAATTCAGCCAGGCCAATATAGGCTATGTATATAGTCACATTATATGATTTGGATGGGTCGCTTTGTTTTTTAAAAGCTGCCGTTATTTCACGTAACAATCAACAATGATTCTGATATTTATACCTAATTTCTATTTTTTATATTTGAAGGAGCTTTTTTCTTCAAATTTTAGAAATATGTTTGTTGCATGTGTTAATTAGTTTGAATGATTGCTTTATATATAATCAAGGGCATTTATTTTTAATGCTTCCCCATTTGTTTTTCATGGAGAATATGGACACAAGAAATAGAAGAATAAATCTGAAGCTTATATTCATTAAAACAAATTAAATAGAAATAAAACTACCTTGAAATGTTTCCACAAAGCTTACTCCAGTGAAGCTTTCTCAGTATAATGTGCCAAATGTGCACAATTATTATAGAATTTTGAAGGAATAACAAATAATAATAATAATAATAAATAAATAAATAAATAGGAAACTAGTTTAAATCAATTTGTTATTTTTATTTCAAGGAACAAATAATCATATGCATTAGCAATTAGTCTGGGGGGTCATTTAACACAAATTACTACCCATCACTGACATTATGTCGTTCTACATTCAACCGTAGGAAGGTAACCATTTGCTGTCATCTTTAAAATATAACGATTACTTTCAATTTAAAAAAATTTAAAAAAAGAAACGTTGAGAGGGTCATTTACAGACCACCCAATTCCAGTAAAATACGAACCATAACCTCACAGAAAATACTCCAAAACAGTTGCCAGAAAAAACCTGAAAAACTAAAAATTATGCCCACTACAATAAACAAACAAATAAATAAAACTACTCTACATACAAACATTTTAGATTACATAAAAAAGAATGTCTACCCGAGCAAAGAACCCCGCCCTGTACATATATATAGCTACTAAGTATTTGAATACTCTACTCCAGCTTCAGCTTCAGTCAAAATGTCATCTTTGTCATCAATGAGGTAATCACAGAGCGCCAAAAGCTGATCATGCCGGGGTTTCTACCGTCATTATATTTGTGGGCATTAAAGGCTATTTGCCACACATCATGCCTGAAGTCCTCTCTGCTCTTGTAACCCATGTTCCTCACCTTGTCTCTAATGGTGGACAGATCCATGGGGGATTTTATTACATCAAAATAGTCTGGGGCATCCTTCTTCATCACCGGTTTCAGGAACAGATAAGAGATTTCGATTGTATCCCTCAGCTGGTCCACTATGCTTTCGAGTATATTTGATAATTCAACCTGCAAGATTCGAATTACGTTGAATGTTTATATACCAAATGATCAAAATGTCTATGTAAGCCACCAGTCTAAATGTGAAATAATATATTACTAAGCAAATCAACCCGCTCAATAAATTTAAGTTCAATACCTCCCCTCCTCTACGCCGCTTTGATGACGGTGCATAGTCTTGAAGATCTGTATCAACTACGCTCCGTCTCTTCGCAGCTCGATCCCTTTCAGGAAACCTCCGATCGGTCCTGTAAGGTCTCTGATCCATTAAGTAATCATCACTAAAATCAGGTTTCTTCTTCTTATTCTTCTTTGTCATTTTTTTCTTAGCCTGGAGTTCCTCCCTCCAAAAAGCTGATTGATGTTTTCTCGGCTCCTCAAACATCCTTCTATTCCTCTCTTCTTCAAATCTCTGCATGTTTTTAACTTTCTCCTCCCTTACTCTCCTCTCATGTGTACGACTTGCACCAATTTCATTTTTCACAAAAAGTTGACTCTCAAACTTTCTCGGCTTCTCAAAACCAGGGGATAGCTCCGTAATTTTTTTCATCTTCCTGGATTCACGGTCTATTGCAAGATCGGCATCCTCGCTGTAATGCTTCTTGGCCATAATTTTTGGCTGTTTTATGACAATTTTCTTAGGAGGTTCTCTATCCATGCCATGAGGAGGGAGTATTCTAACAGTTGGTTTTGGTGTATCTGGCTGTGCATTCTCACCCTTCATCTTGATAGGAATTATTAAACTCCTCCCAATTTGCTTGGCTTCATGGTTCATAGTGCCAGAAACCATCTTATCGAATTTATGAGATGCAGACAAGCTCTTCTCCGATCGCTTGTCAGCAGATCCCCATTTAAGTTTGAGCGGCGGAACCTTAACGTGTACTTCCATTTCTCGCTTCTCTGGACTTTCTGGCGACAACGCAGACATCATTTTCTTGTTTATTACTTTCAGCTGAGATCGATTTGCAGCATCGAGTAGGTGGGATTTGCCGGACGTGCTCTCTACTTCGATAGGGTCTGCGTCTTCTCCGTATTTGGGACAGTTTTTGTTGGTCCGCATGTGTCCAAGCTGGTTAATCACCACATTTTTATCAGTTAACATGAAGAGAACTTCCCACTTGAAGAAACATTCTCATTTTGTATGGTGTATTACACACCTGACCACAAGCTCCACATACAAAACTCTCTCTTCTATCTGCGTGTTTTTTCTCCTTGTAAACCTGATTTAATCATTACGGTGAAGAAAAATATGTGATATAGAATATTCAGCTGTGAAAGACATGAACCGAATTTCGTAAATGTTTCTATTATTATTGCCACATGAGTCTCAACATAGAACATTTCAGTAAGAAGAAGTATTAGTGCAGCTACCTTGGTTCCATCTTTCGAAGTTTTGAAGTTTTTTCTCACTAATCCCATAGCCATGTCATTTGCTACAAATCCCTTTTTGGTCTTTGATTTCCAAGAAATTGTTTCAGCGGGAGAGTTTTCAACCTGTAAGAAGTAGGCAACAAGATCAATAAAAATATTTGCTCGGATGAAGGTTCTTCAAATTGACATAATCGTCTTAATAAATAGGACAAATATTATAAAGATATGATAAAGAGGGCTAATGATCATAGAGGGAGCAACAAAAGTATATTGAATTACCTCGTTAGATACGTGGATCACAAGTTCTTTTGAGATATGTGAACTGTCAAGATATGAACTGCCAAAAATTTGGCCAACTGTGGTACCCATCTTCTTCACGGAAGCATTCTCAGTACCAAGCTGAGGGCGAATGACATCTATTCCAATAGGTTTCTTTTTTTTCTCAATCTCAGATTCATCGTCTGTAAATTAAGTTATAAGGAAATAAAAATCAGCACAAGTTAAGTATTAAATTCATCACTTTAGCAACAATGGAAAGATCAAAGCTCCAATTAATAAAAGATATGGTGAGAGAGCATGCATTAAAACTAAAAGCGCTACTACAGGTGCAGAGTATCTTAAGAACGCTACAAGTAAACAGTAGGATTTGTTTCCAAGCATAACAATGAAGGAATCATACTAAGCACGACATACCAAATGATTTAAAATTAATATAAAATCAAAGGAATAAAAATAAGGATATCAAAACAGCATATTCTCAAGTTGATGATGTCAAATTATTAAAACACAAAACTTCTTGAATTTTCAAAGCAAGAAAACTAAGAAACCAAAACAATGGCTATGAAAATTCTTCATGGATCTATTGCCATTTCAACAATCCAAAAAAGTAATAGAAGTTCAAACATAAAGGTGCTATAAGGATGAGAAAAAGTTAAATTGGTTCATACAATATTTATGAAGGGCCGTTTTAGTTCAAAACTTTTAACGTGTCCAATTAAGCAATTTGATTCAAAACTTTCAATGTGTCCAATTAAGCATTTTGATTCCTCAAATTCGATCAAGCTTTGTTCTTTGGCAAATCAAATCTAATCTAAAAATATTCCAACAGAAGAACTCTTTTGGATCGTATTTCAAAGCCATCATCATGTGAGCTTGCTTCCTTTATTTATGGATCATTTTTTGACTTTGTTTTTTTTTCTAATTTGGAACCTTCTCTCTTCGCTTCACCTCCCCTGCATTGCCTTGTCAAGTTATCCCCCTAGCTGCTACATCACCTCTAATGCATTGTGCCCAAAACTGTGGCACTTGACGTACTTTCTGGCTGTGACAGATTTGGGAATGTTATTTGGCTTTAACAGTTGTCCTCTCTGAATTAATTTCTCCTCAAGAGAAGAAGGCTTGAATGCTCAATTGGATGTATTCTTACAGCTTGATCCTGCGATTGAACTTTGCCTGCATGGGGAGGCACCCAGTGAGGCGGCTTATTTCACCATTCTGTCTGGTGGGGCGTCGAAGTACTCAAAGACACGTTCCACTATCCAGAGCCTCACAATGAACTCATCCGGATCCATGTGACTATAAGAAAATATGAGAAATTCATATTTACTTCAAAATCCTAGCTTCTCAAATATTTCAAGACAAATCTTCATGGCAAGGGTTCTTCATCTCAAATGTTTCATGGGGGTCTTCTTTAAATCACAAATTGACTCTAGCATTTTGGTTTTAGCTCATCCTATTTTTTATGTGGATTATAAGCAAAACTTAGTACCGTGTTAAGATCTCATCTTAAGATTAGATCATTCCTTGGCTATACATAGCCCAAAAGTGATGTTTCAATCCTGCAATTTATTTAGAAATTTAAGACTTATCTCCCACGATAGAAGACAATGAAAAAGACTAAAAAAAGTGAGGATTTACGTTGTACTAGATGAATAACCTCAAAATCCTAAGACTAAAGGTGAAGTTCACCAAAAAAATGAAACATCAAAAACCTAGTCTAAAGAAAGAAAACGCAAACATGCAGAATGAACTTACAACCATGTCTGAAAAGGACCGTCATCTAAACCACCTAAACGCATTTTTAAACCATGAAAAAAACCAGTTTCAATGAATACATGGTATGAAAGGTTATTGTTTATTAAGAATTGTAGGTCTTACAACTTGATCGTAACGATCACGATACCTAAATATGTATGGTTGAAAAAATCCTAAAACTAATGCAAGTTCAATTTTTGCAAGTTAAAGATTTTAAAGCTCACCACACTCAAATGAATTTTATTATTTTGGGCTAATTTTAGTGTTGAGTGATCAACAACAAGCTGTGAGTAGGATACACCATTTTGATGATAAATACATAGAATATTTTTTTAAAAGGCCGATCGACGACAGAACTAACTCTATAAGTCAGTGGTTCTCATTGGTCAAACCACCCATTTTTGTGCAATGAGTGGGGGTCTGAAGACAATGAATTGAACCAGTAAGCAATGAGTATGCCTATGGTGATCTTTTCATGGCTATTCCTAAATAATAAAGATGTTCCTACCCTCTCCAATATATAAGATATTTTGATCCTCACACTTGATATTTTAGCTCCATATGATAATCATGTTGGTAAAGCAGACGTTGATCTCATATGATCATCAGGTTGCTGAGGTGGAAATTGATGTCGATTGTAAACTTATCTCTGATTTTAGCGTTTCTAATATAGAAGAACGAGGATAGAGGTTTCAAATACTATATATGACAGTAAGTGCAAATATGAAAATGAAAAATATCACCAATTTTTAAGATTTAGCAGACATTCAACAAAATGCTTTGATTGGAGACTATCGGGGTCCTCCTCTTCCATCAGATTTTTTCTCCTTTCTTTTATCTAGCAACCTTTGATGTTTTCTTTTGATTTCTAATTATTCCTCGGACAATTCCTTATAACTATATGATGTCATCATTTCATTAAATAAGAATAAAATTGTTTATAAAAAAAAATCCAACAACTCTAAGTATAAAACATCAAAAACAAATAATGAAAATTTTGCCATTAAAAAACACATGAAAAGGATCTAAATCAGCTTTCTGTCATATCGTTCTCTTCAGGGTTATCTACCAGGAAACTAAGTCCATCTAAACAAAATTAACTAAAAAGTTAGAGCATATTGATCATGTTCTACCATATATAACGTCAAAAATAGGTAACAAAATTTAAATTGCACCTTTAAAACAAACTTCTCGGCATCCACATTGAAATATTTTTCAATTAATAAAAATGTTTATAAAGAGAGCGATCATTAAACTAATTAAATAGAATTCTCCCCTAAAAAAATGGAATATCCTTCAACAAATTAAAAGGCCTTCTCTCCTCAAATTTGCCTACCGTTCAACTAGTTAAGGGGAATGCATAGCAAATTCATTTTCAATCACGGGTTATCTGAAGTGTATTCATACAAGACAATCTTTTAACTCTGCAGTATTCATCATAGAATCTAATCCATCCTTCAACTAATGGAAGAATATTCACCAAATTCATACTTATACTAACCAAAGAGTATTCCCGCCTCAATCCTTGACAACTCTAAATTAATTGAAGTTTACTCTTAGGGTATCCTTCAACTAACCAAAAGATGTACACAAAATGCTATCCCTTAGGTCACCAATGAGTTATACCAGCCTCGAATATAGATAATCTTTTAACTAACGGTTATTCCCCTTGATATCATTTTAAATCCTGTGCAATCCCTCAAATTACCGGAGTATTCATTGAAAGTTATAATTAGATTAACTGATGAGTATTCCCGCAACAAATTTGTATTATTCTTTAATTAATAAGAGGGCACCCACACCTTGAAGTTTAGCTATGTTTCAACTATCTAAAATAGTATACTTTGCGAGTTTCTTTTAAATCTTAGGGGTCTCCTTTAAATATTGAAGGATATTTGCTAAATTCTATCTTTCAAATAAGCCAAAGGCAATCCCTACTGGACTATCATTTGAATAATTGAAGGAAATTTGCTATTTGCTAAATGGACTATCTTTTTTTAAATTGAAAGATATACACACCTCGAATCTGAATATTTTTCAATTAAGGGTGAGTTTATTTCAGTTGTGGCTATGTGAAATTTCAGTTCAAAAGCTGTTGCAAAAAATCTGTTATTCAATAGCTAATGTTTTAGAAGCTGTAAGCTTGTTTGAAAAATACAGTTTTCAAAGTACTGCTTGTGGACAAATATTTGAAATACCCTCTGTAATTTTTGAAAGAGCAATAAGTGAGAATTCTGTAAACCAATCAACACCATCGCCAAAACATCTGTATCATTTTCCAATCATGACCGACTTTGCGATTGGGAATGGGAAATTTTGAAAATGAGGACCGTGAATGAGCGGAATGAATCCACACTGTCTTTCTCGCGAGTAGGGCAGCGTTGTCTTTCCTAAAACAGGTACGCGAACTTGGGCGAAGCATCACAGTTGAAAGTATAATATCTGATTCATTTTCCAGCCATGACCGACTTTGCGATTGGGAATGGGAAATTTTGAAAATGAGGACCGTGAATGAGCGGAATGAATCCACACTGTCTTTCTCGCGAGTAGGGCAGCGTTGTCTTTCCTAAAACAGGTACGCGAACTTGGGCGAAGCATCACAGTTGAAAGTATAATAAAAGGCTCAACTGCAATTTGCACCGCGATATCCCAAAATGCGACTCAAAAACCTCAAAATCATGGTGCGGTTCAGAACTTGGTTTGGAAAGCCGAAACAAACACACATAAGACTGAAGGTCCTTCTAAATCCTGACTTATCCTTCAACTAACCAAATGATATTCCATGAAAGCAATCCTTCAACTAACCAAAGTGTATGATTCTCAGATACAAATTATACATCAATTAATTAAGATCTATTTCCTTCCTCTAATTTAACTATCCTGCACTAAGTAATGCATACTCCTTTAAATTTTCTCTTATCCTTAAGCTATCTTTCAACAAGTCAAAAGATATTTATCAGAGACTGTTCTAACTAATTAAAAAATATTCCATCTTCAAGTCAAAATTATCATTCCAATAACTGAAAGATGTTCCCTTTCTCCTCTAATATGACAATCTTTCAACTAATTGAAGAATATTAGTATATTTTTGTGAAGCATTCAATGAAGGGCAAAAATGTTGATACATTACAATGCACCCTGCGCCATAAAAAGTTTGTAGCGCCGAGCTTGACATGGAAACAAAAAAGTTGGATAAATAAATACGCCATTTTATGCAACATCAAATACAAAACTATACTCAACTATTCTATTAAACAGTGAAAATACATCAAAACAAAGTAATATTTAACATTTATTATCTAGCTTTATATGATGTAAAGCAGTATTTTAGTAGATGACACTTGCACCCGGTCACTACTTGTCCACTTTTACTACAGGAATATTTTTCTTATCATCAGAAGCAGCATAAATGTATTTCATGGAATCTCTTTACAAAAACCTAAAGAGAATCAGTGCAAACAACAAGGTTAAGAATATTTCTTGATCCTTCTTTTAGTCCACCCGCTAGTATTTACAGCTATAAGCCTAATTGACGAATCTTTTTTCTCCACAATATATGTCTAGGTAGTGAATGAAAGTGCAAAACCTGCATTTGTGATCGACGACCGAGTACATTTAGAATCAAAGAGTGGTTTGAAACATGCATTAGAGGCATGTGTCAGCTTAGGAAAGCAAAAAAATCCCCAGGCCAGAAACAGCTAGGTATAAAATTAAGGAGCAGTTGGGTTTGGATCAATGCAAATGCAAAGTAAAAGCAGTCAATTTTTTAAATTTATTGAGATTTGTAAAAGAAAAGAACTGTGAAGTAGAATTTAATTCAACAACTTCAAATAAAACACCAAATAGCTAATTTTGCATGCAGATAATCTACATCAATTTTTCATTCAACCAAAAGTCACCAACGTAAAATAGAACAAAAAAGGACAAAACTAATTACATTCAGATGCTTATCTCTTACAAAAAGAGCAGGTATCAACTAAAGTAGCGTGGAAAACAAAAATTGGGTACTAAATGAAATAACATTGAAGAAATACAAATATCATGGAATGCAAAGTAGAAATACGACATTATCCATTCTACAAACTAAATGATTAATTAACCAAGTTAAACTAAATAGATTATTTGTAGAAAAGGAATAAAGCCTAACATGAACTTCTACAAACGCTCTACAGAAGGTCAAACTAATGCCCCTATATTTATTAATCTCATATTTGACCCCGTAGTATATCCTTTAAAGACAGTCAAACAAATGCCCCTATATTTATTAATCTCATATTTGCCACCCTAGTATAACCTTTAAAGACTGCACCACATGCTCGCATCTAATCACCTTATAGAAGAAATGCACCGATAATAAGTACTCTTAAACATTAAAAAGACGGATGTAATTGTTATGTAATTCACAAGATTTTAAACCTAAATCAAGAGCGAGTACAAAACAACCTTGAATCTGATGTAAATGCAAATTGACCAATGATAAATACTATAAAAAAGAAAATGAAGTCACATTCTGGTGCCTATGAACATACTGTTCTCTCTTTTTGCAACACTTGAGGAAAAAAGGTGTGAAAAAAAAAAGGAGCCCACTTTAGATTTCCCATGCCCATGCCCATGCCCGCTAGCAATAACAATATCAACAACACAAATAATTTCAGTTGTACCAATATGTTTCATAAAACAAATTAATTCCTTACCTTCAAGCAATCTACGGATGAAAGCTGCTTCAGCTTTAGCATCTTCAATTTCTTCTTCTGTCTGAGAAAATGAATGGCACCTTCTCATTTTAAGTCCTCTAGCAACATCTGTCTTTTCAACCATCGCATCACCAGTTCCAACCTCCTCTTCAAATTCTTCTGCATCTAGCAAATTCTCAAGGTCCCCGGCAAAAGAATCCAAATCACTATTTGCTTCAGAATCACTCTCATTTTCATCATCATTAGCAGCAGAGAGACTTTGAACTTGTCGATCCCATATTTCCTGACATTTTTCACGTGTCTGCTGCTGGAGTTGAAGAAATGACATTCGTTGTCCGCGTGCAAACTTGCTTAATGTCATGGCTTCAACTTTAACTCCTGAGGCTGCTTGTTCACTTGACAGCTTGCGTACCAAAGCAATCCGATGCCACCTGGTTAGTTTATCTATTTGCTCTTCCGGTACATTGAATTTTAAGAGTACCTATGATGACAATGATGGTTGACTTGATTTTTACATAATCCATTTCAGATAAACTAAAAAAAATATTACACCCTAATTCATCTTTAGATCACAAAAAAGGTATTACACCTACATTATTACAAAAAAAAAATGTATTATCAAAATGTCTTGGTGCATATGGTAGTTGATATAAACACCAGAACTTAATTATAAATTGAAAATAAAGGATAGAAAAAAATTAGATTATGGAAATTAGATTTGTTTGAAAACCAACCACCAATAAATCCCGAAATAAGCGAGAAGTACACAAGTGCACTATAAAAAAAGCATAAATATAAAAAAAAAATCAGATGGAATTGTGACTTTTGTGTGCGTGAAAGACATGACAAATGGATCTCACATAAGGCATAAAAAACATTAATATAACAAGATTGACACTAGCGTTGACGCAGGCGCTCGGTGCAACACCCGAATTTGAGCGCAGAAAAAGCACCCTGATGCGGAGCGCTGCAAAATCGTGGCTGAACAGCAAAGGGACTGGCTGTCCAGGCTGGCGACAATAGGTGGTTGGGGCGGAGGTAGAAGGTACAGCAAAGGCTCGCTGTCCCGGGGCGGCGGCAGCGAGGAAAGGGAGGATGTTAGTGATGGCAGAGAGGATATAGGTAATTGGGGGGTTGCGGTGGGCTGGAAGTGCAGAAAAATAGCAGAGGAACTGCTGTTCTGGCGGGCTTTAGCAAGGGAGGAAGGTGGGGGGGGCGATGCAAAAATGGTAGGGGAAGTACAATCACCACCTCGGGAGCGAGAAGCAACCGGAGCATCACTCGGATCCAGCTCTAGAAGGGAAAATAGAAACACCGACAACCTTCCCAAAACAAACACACAAAAATCTATCCTAGACACCAACGAAAACACATACATAGTCCTAGGATAAATAGGAGCGCGCTCCACTCTAGGGGTGTAAACGAACCGAACACGAACGAACAAAGCTTGTGTTCGTGTTCGGTTCGTTTAAAATTTAGTTTGTTTGAAATAAGCTCGTGTTCGTTTCTTAACGAACGAGCCGAACAC